TATGACGAATGTCACCATTTCACTAACAGAATTTAGTTAATGCTGTTAGTTATTGTTTATTAATTTAATTTAATTATTACGTCTTTAGCCGGAATAATTGACCTTGTTCTTTAAGGGAGAAGCTAATTTATCTGTAAGGGCGCCTTGATTTTTTTTTATCTGTACAGGTATAGTTATTGCTATTACTGCTATCGTCAATTACAACTATAGAATTGACGAGCTGGCTCCGGCATTAAATTGACTGGCATTACGAGTGCGTGCAGGATTTCGACGACGGGGATACCTTGTCGTTCTCAGTGCTCCTTTTTGTTACCCGGAAAAGCTGGAGCATCCTTTCACTATGAAAAACAGCAAAATTTGCAGCTTTATTAAGCGAAATTTCCGTAGCATCTAGCAAACACCAAAGCAAACAACGCTAAGGTTTTTCACTAACTTGTTAGGTTGCTGTCCATAGATATATCTCAAGATAGTTGAATGTAAAGCGAAACACGTCAGTGAAACCGCCAAAGTAAACATATACCATTTAACCGTACTTATTTGTGAGACGTCCTCATTTTAATGCAGTCTCTTGAAGACGCTAGAATATACAATGCTACTTTTCTCATAAATATATAATAACACTTAAATCTTAACCTGCAGGATACCGATAAAGCGTATTTTAAGCTGTCTGCTTTCCATATTTCTTTGGTCTCTTCCACTACAAATGTAACAAAATAAAAAGGCGGCGGAAAGTGCTGTTCAGGTGTTCTTCCGCCATATTTCCGTAGTGAAGTTTTTGTCGTCTTTTTTACGAGAGATCTCCGTGCTGTCACAGAAACGATTTTGCAAGGCCTGTAAGGGTATGGCCTAATATGACTGTTTTAGAGGAGCCAAACAGAAAACAAGATAATTGCCATGTTCATTGCGTTTGGAGGACCAACATGTATCCAGCCGAGATTCAAATCTAGATCGTTTCTGAATTTTACCGGTCAGTAGACGAATGCGTAACCGCTGCAACGTTGCTAGATCATCTATATTCGAGGAAGATCGCTCAATGCCAATCTCCACTAAAGGACCATATCAAGTAACAAATTTTCTAAGAATATTACTTGATCATCCTTAGAACTCAGTCAGGACCTAGGACAGTCAGTGTTTCCTGATATCTATAATTGTATTAATGTAGAAAATGCTTCGCCTCGACATGTTAACATCAAAATTCAACAGGAACGTATATATGATGATTATTGTCAGGGACATATATGGAGTTGTTGAAGCCACGCTTGAACAGCTCAGAACAATAATGGCATCTGCAAATGATCCGCGTACCATTTTCTGATGATATCGTAAAGATTGCCTCGAACTCTTTTCAGCCTTGATACTGATTTTAGCTTTTAAATTCACTTCAGTTGTCTTAAGGGAAGGTGATCATGAAAGCATGACCGGAAAACACAAACATACTGAGTTATAAAATGAAAGTAAATATAATTAAGCACTAAGTTCCTCCCCTCCCCCCGCCCCCGCCCCTCAAAGCAGATAATAGTGACTGCGACACGTTCATGACTACTTTCGAATATAGCTCGAGGGAAAGTAATACAGTTTCTCGCGAAGGGAAGAAGACTCACCGTTCAGATTTTGGTATAATCCGCTTGTAGTACGCTAACCAGTTTGATGTAGAAGAAGCTATCCTCGCATATTCCTTCGGTATCGCTCGCGTCTTAAGCACACGGTCAAAATACCTAGTATACGGGAAAAAAAATGGGCACATAATAACAGTCTACCTGTTATTTTCTCGGAATTGTTGGGAATTTTCTTATTTACAGTCGATCATTGTCGGCCAATCAACCTGCGTACATATCATTCGGAGCAGGTAGTTTCACTAATCACTGAGAGCTCTCAAAAGCAGTCTTCACTATCAACCCACCTGGTCGATGGACGTCTAAATATTCGCTACTTCTTTTCCTCGTTTTCAAACCTTCACGAAGTCCATGCTCAATTCATGCCACCGTTCGAATAATCAGTGCCTACCAATGTATAAACACCAAACACAGGCTATGGAAACGAACACGATAGTAACAACAAAGTCATACTGACAGTGTTATTGACAATTGGTTACCACTATTTACCAAAATTTCCAGAAGACGTAACGCGATAAATTTTCCATAAACAACAATCAGTAACAGCGAACTCAATACTAAGTGTAGTCGTCGTTTTCGTCTTCAGCCGCGTCCCCAATATTCCCTTCCAATTTGACTTTAGCACCAGCAACAGATGTTGTTCTTTTTCTTTCCCCTACCGGTTACGAAAAGAAGGGAAGAACCGTTACCCAAAATGTCCTCGCCCTCAAACGGTCCCGGGCATCGTTTTTTCTGTTTTTGTACCATAATCCTTGGGTGTTCCGTTACGTTCCTATGAGACGCGGTGCGCCTTTAGGCCTGTGTCAAAGTGTGCAAAACTTACCAACGGCGAATCGCCCGTTACATTGCGTACACACAGGCTCAGAACAAATGACACGAATCGAAATAGCGTTGGAATAAACGATCCTAACAGCCACACCGTGGTTTTCGATAGCGCGACGGGAAAAATGAGGAATTCTATCGTTGCGTTGGTCGCCGATAGATAGAGTTGCAGAGAGATAGACAAATCATTACCTGAGATGTATGTAGAGTTACCCTACGTATATTTAGCGTGTGTTTTTGTGTATAAGAAGACGAAAGTAATTATTAAAAATACTGGGTTCCTTTTATACGAACAATGTTTTTCTGAAGTTTTCGCTTGTATAGTAGATGTATATTTTGACTATATATTATTTGCGAGGAAAATTGGAAGTGGAAATATATATTTTAGTTTATCTTGCTCTCCTTGTCGGCTTATCCAGGTACGATTTTTGTAGAATATGCCGAAATGCTTCTGACAATCGTTGTCAAGCATTAAATTCCGCGGGTGATCAGCTGAACTTATTTAGGCAAAGCCACATTAAATTTGGACGGATCAATGAACCAATCAAGAAATTTCTGAACGAATGCATTTTTTCTCCATTTTTCAGGATGGTACGCTTCTTTGATTTTGCGTACTATTTAATCCATAACGAAATATTTACTAATATATGGCTCAGGTTTACGGTTCTCCTGATGGTACAATTAGAAGTGATGTTGCATCATAGACGGTACTATAGTCCCATTTCATTACGCGCTGAGCCGTAACAACCGCTCACTAGGGCCTGGGCTTGATTGACAGAGTAGTTCTATGTTTTCTTCGAATTGTTTCATTTCTTAGTGGTTTTTCCATTGGCCAGTGTTGATAGCCTTACACTCTCGACTCGTTATGTAGTCAAAACGGTTTCTATCACCAGAATTTAAGCGAATAAGTATTGACGTTGAAAGGTTTTATTTTGATCGATGCCAAACGAATATTAAAATTAGATACCTGAAGTTACCTTTCTTTGATAAATCAAACATGATACAGCCATATATCTGCACGCCTAGGTATTTGTTTTTTCCTGCTGTCCTTATTAGTGGACTTGCCATTTAGAATGAACTTCTTGAGCGTAACACCTGATAGAGTTGTTTAAGCAGATTTCATCAGGCCTAAATAAATCAAACAAATCTGGGAAGTAAACTAAATATAAAAGACATTATATTAACTAGATATAGTATAAGCAGTAGAAAGATGAATATGGTCGATTTTAAAATGCTGCTAATATCTATTACCTATTAAATGCAGCATCTTTCCTGTTCATTTACTCTATGCCTTTAAATTATGATATGCACATTTGGATTACATAGTCAGTAGAAAACATGTATTTGTGCGGTCGTTCTTTTGATAGGTTTAATCTGTGTAACCGTACCCAGATTCTACTTCTTCCTAGTACATTTGAATAAAAGGTCCCCCTATTCCTTTATTCTTGAATGATTACTGCATCGGTTTTTAAAGCTCAGCGTGTTGCTTTACGCATGCTTCAACACGGCTGTGTGTGCGTACGTGTCTCGCTGAGAAGCTAATTTCATTAAAGAAAATCACTGTACAATGAGAAACGTCGAATCGGCCATCCAAATGAAGCACCAGCAGACCATAAGTAAGAAATGGCAGTAAAGGTATACCTTTTAAACCCTTTAAAGCAAGAAAGCACTAGGTAGCTTTAAATGCGTCTTAGTAGCCACCCAAAGAAAAAATGGGCCACAACAATCAGAGTTTCATGTCACAAAGCAGCGGTTCAGTAAGATTTTGAAGACCTCTGTGCTCAACCAACATTGTATTTTATTTTTAATATATAGTTTCAATACGGGATCTGCACCCTGTAAGAATCAAGAAAGGGTAATTTAGTCTACAAACTAGGGAGAGGAACAATTTTGGTTGAAGTCAACAAAATGAATAGATACACGTCGTATCTGTCAATGGTTTCACTTTATATCGCCTAGTACCAATAGCCAAAAAATTGAGGATCTCGCCTATGCTTCACACCTGACTTACTTGAGCGTAGTAGGGGAGGTACGAAAGAATCCAAGCTAATGTCATTGTGCAGCAAGGGATGGGGACGAAGACTAACGGGTACAATGCGGGTCAACTAACTACTCAACAAAGAGTACGCCCACAAGCTTTTATAGGCTAAATATTAAGTCAGACAGGCCTGTAGACCTGTATCAAGCTCTAAAATACTTCGCAAAAAATAACACACGTAAAAACATTTCGTGATTTGCAACATTTTACAACAGTTCATTGGTTTATATTTTCGAAACACGGATAAGTACATTTACACGTTTACGGTTGCTTACACATTCAAATCACTTCGATTGCGTTCGAAATCATTCCACTTGTACGCCTACATTGGTTCGCAGGCATTCGTTACTACGTTGTACCGCTCGATATTTGTTTTATATTAATCATGCGAATGTATAATAAATATCAATAAACTGACTCCTACGGAACTCAACAGCAGTAAATATCCACTTCTGACAATTACTGGTGGCCAGGCCAATTAAGAATTTTCACATCCGAGTCATCCAAAAAGTATATTTTTTTAAATTAAGAATTAACAATTTTATTAAAACTCTAACATCCATCCATCAGAACAGATCACTGCTAATTTGATATTGTCAGTAGTTATTAAAACTTAGAAAACTTCACCAAAATTAAATTCACAATATATTTCTTTGCAATTTCGGTATTTCACGGCATAAGGTCACGCAGCTTTAAAAACAAAAACGTTCACCATTTTCTTTTTAATTTTTTTCTTAAGCAATCGCAGATATAGAAGTTTAAATGTCCATATCAAGTCTATATCCTTTTAGTAATACGATTATATCATTTACATTTTTCCTTTTTGCTTGCTTTATCTATCCTTTATGAACCGTAATAATGATAAATCTGTATTGTATAATGCTCTAAGATGTATAAAGCATCTGAGATATGCGTAGTGCTGTAAAACCACAAGTTCTGGATACTTGAACATTATCTAAATATTGATAAGATATTCACGGTTACCACGGTCTTTTGGATGTGTTTCTTATTACTTTGGCCTGCCCTAACCATTTACCCGAGGTATGACCAAAAATTAAATTTTCTATCTTCCCAGGTTCTTCGTGTTCCATCTACGACCGCGCTCGTCCCTGGAATAGGCTCCGCGAAGACTGTTTAGCGCGGTGGTTATCTAGACGAAGCCGTGCGGGGTGTTTCAGTTTAAGTACACTGTTTATGGTAATAATCTTTCTGGAGCGTTAAAGATGAAAGCTGGTGCGCTGAAAAAAATTGATGCATAAAAATTACCAGCCTTAGAGCGATGCAGAGCTTAAGACTCAAAGCGATGAATGGCCGTTGATGTGTAACCAGAATCTTGAAGTAACCTGTAAAAAATTAATTGAACTTAACAAATTAAAAAAAAAAGTTCGATTTCTACATATTTAGATACGTTTGTCCATCTTCATCGGACAACTAAATGCGAAGGAAGTTGTGTGTTGTGTGCACATTTTGCTGCCATAAGATTATGCCAATTCTACTGATTAGTTGCCTGTACTAGGAACTAGGCTTCTGTAACTCTTATCTTTAAACTTCTTGTACGAAGGCACTCCAAAAGAGTTAGGCCAACCCATAACCAATCGCAAACAAAAATATGCTGAAAAGGTTTTATGTGGGAGCTTGGTCGTCCTTACTTGGCAGCAGCCGCTGTGAACGGCGGCGGTCCACAGATGCCAACAAGCAACTTTCCATCCCTCTCCGATGGAATCGTATCACGCAGTAACTCACTTCGGATGCGGCCAGTTTTGCCCGTCCAGGAGTCGTCAGCTTCTGATAAAATAATGTCGTGAATAAACCTATCGAAAAAAATAACATGATACGAGCACCTAGACAATGTTAGCAATATTAAAAGCTCAAATTATTTTTAAGAAAATTAAGGAACGTTTTTTTAGACATCCGTATTCTCGGTCGAGCTCCACCTATTCGCCATACGAGAAATTACAGTCTATTGGTGATTACTATTACTTACGTTGCTGCCTGCTATGTTTTCTGCCTTTGTGTACCGCCCACGAAACGTAGGCGCAGCGCCGAGGTTCAGGTAAGATGCCCTATAAGTTAACGAACTCTAATTTCCGTCTTCAGTTTTCTGTACTTTTTGTGTCCGACTATGTGTACATTTGTTACAAAATACAGCGCTGAAGAAAGTTGTGTGTGTGCGTGAGCAACAGTTGACTTGTTTAGTCGCTTACCTCTTATCAGTCTGTTGTAAGTACTCAAGTTGTTCTCTCCAAATTATATCATTAAACGTTTTATGGAACGACATAAGACGCACTTGTTTTCTGCAATTGTGCAAATGCAAATTAAGTTATTTGCTGAAATAGGCAATGAGGTAAGCCAAGCGCATCTTAGAAAATGTTCTTTTACGCGAAATGTCAAAAATTTTATATTGCAAGGAGAGCCAAAAAACAATTTAATTTTCTAATTCTAAGTCAAGCTCAGTCCTCATCGGTGGCATTATGATTAGCATTATGGCGAAATTAACTTACATATCCTTGCAGTTGTATAACGCCCAAAGGATCATCCTAACCATTGGAGTGAAGCCTGTGCCTGCTCCAAGTAATACAAGGTTCTCCAATTCCACGTATCGATGCACGACAAACGTACCAACGGAATCTGCCATTAAGATTTGGTCACCTGAGTATGCAAAGATGTTCATTTAAAAACGGTCTTATCAAATCTAAACGTTTCATATCTAGGAAATATCCTTTACTATAAGTAGATATTTAGCTAATTTTAACTTTCGAAGTTTTTCAGCAGCGAGACACCAAAATGCGTAAATGAAGCAGTTCCTAGCTACGCACCGACACTCATCGAGTCGAGTTTCTGTGTCATTTGTCCTTTGTCGTAGATTTTAATGAGGAGGTGAATCCTGCGACCATCACTTGACGGAGATCTCGCTGCAGCCTCCAATGACGGAACAACCGGAGTGTAGCTCCGAGTACACATTGACCCGTCCTCAAGCGGTACTCGCAACGATACGTGCTGGCCTACCGGCACGAAAACTAGTGTCCCTAAAGAACGCATTCAAACAGCGACTACAGTGTCAACACGATCACATGTGCAAATCAAAAACACAACGTCGAAAATATCGACAGCTATGCCACATATTGGCGCTTGCTATTCATATTCACGCCAAACAGTCCAAACTATATTGCTAAATAGCGTAGTTTTCCTCGAAAACGTCTGCATTACTACTAAAGATGAAAGAGAGACAAGAACACGAATCAAAGATACTCGTTCGTCAATTTGCGTCGTCTAACACCGTGTAATTATATGTGCATAAAGAAATGAGGTATTTCTTTCGCGTTTCACGTATACATAATCGAAATCAGTTCTAGGTCCAGTTTCTAGGTCCAACCTAGAAATGGGCATGTCGAATAGGTGAAAACCAATGTAGCAGACCCCTCAACGTATCTCCGACAATGATCGATCTACGAGAAAATTATAACTGAGACCCGCTACACTGACGCTTTCTACTGATAAAATAATGAAAATTTTGCCATAATTGCCTTTTCCAGTTGAGTCATATGAATACTATAGAAAGCTATACAAATATAAATATCTGGTTCTTTGATTAGGTCAATAGCATAATATCAGTGAATGTAAAACATTATATAGACCGCCGAATAGGCCAATACTCATGACGATAGGACAATGACGTCTAGTCGAATAGAGGATAAACGCATGAGGAGAAGGATTCGCCTTGGTTTCGAAAAAAAAAAAACGAAAAACGAAGTTCCCTTATTGCAACGAAATATCGCAATCTTTACATATCACAGAACCCTTTTATATTCTTACGTTCTCAGTTGTCATGTGTATGAATAAGGGAAGTTATTTTCTATATGTAGTTTAATTTTTTGTGAAATCGGACACTGTACAAACAGCGTTTCGCTGTTGAGGGCCTTCGCCTGCTTTTAGTTAGGTGTGTGTGTGTGTGTGTGTCAGGCTCACGTCGTGGTGCCCGCGATATTGCGGTAGTAGCCGTGTTTGTCTGCTGAATTTTGGGGATGCTTAAAATGGTGTACGATCAATCTCAGGTATGGGCCATTTGTCGGGGGGTGCTCTCAGCCGTTCGAAACAATATTCAGCAGCAGTGATAGCATTAGACAAAGTTCAAACCATTGATTTAGGAATGCGTCATACACTGTCACTGACGCCTAAATTCTCTTAAGGCTCTTCTATGCCTTTCTGTAGCTCTTGCTTAGCCACACGTACATTTTTTCTATCGTTTATGATAGATAAAATGGGCTACACTTTTGAGTCATGCTTCGTGCCAATATTCATTTTGTCGAGTGGTAGACATCACTAGTAGGTAGGTATGTTGAAAAAGTATTGAATAGCCAACAAAGCGTGCCCATAACGACACAACAGTAAACGGTGCAGATAATATCTTCGAAAAAACCCTGAGGCGGCACAGAAGATGCGAGAATCACAAAGCTACACTGGGGAGAAGTGAAATAGATATGAGTAAATAAGAAACCTACGAAAGCAACATAGATCTTCCATAAGAACTCCATGCTAAAAACTGAAGAATTCTTTTAACGTTTTAACTACACATGTGTTGAAACAAAAAAAACAAAAAAAAAAAAAAAAACTTTTAGATCGTACGCAGGAATCATATTTTTCCAAAATTGAAATTTTGTAGAAGAAGATATGAAATCTTTACGCACGTTTATAATAAGGTTTGTGGCAATAGGTTCACGCGATTACCTTTAGGCATTTCAAATGTAAAAAGGTACGTGTCATGGGTGATCTGCTCCCTGACCACAAGGTTCACTTTGCGAAAATATCTTCGTGATTGGTAATCCCTAGCGGCGATTAAGTCTGCATCTTCTGGAGCCGATGATCCCAGCGAATACCACGATAGGGATGGTGACGTTTTCACTAGACAAACAGTAACAGTTTTTTGTTTGGGGTTCACACACACTGCAGACAAAGAATAGCAAAAAGGTCTGTTACAAACGAAGTTGGTCACAGCGACAACAGAAGCCAATCATCTTATCATATTATTATTTTTTTCAATTTAAACATTATTACCCTAACTAGATTATTGACATGGGATTTATTAAAACTCTACAACTTATGCTACTATCATTTTTTAAAACTATTCCTTTAATAATTACACCAAGTGCAACAATAAATTCTGTTCTAGATGATTCCGAACCTAAGAACACTCTAGCAGGACAAGGCAAGCTAAATAGTCCCTTGCTGGGCCCTCAGAGATGGAGTAAGGATTATTACTGGTGATGTCCCACAGTTCTGAAAAGTGCTGTTCATGACCTAAGAAGTAATAGTCAGGAAGCCGAGTAGTTCCTTGGGCAGCTGTTGCCATTGCAAGATTAGGAAAAAGCAAATTCTGACACCGACTCGCGGCTCTAATGAAGCTTCTCTGACCGACATCTACGATCCTTGCCGAGTGCAACTGCTACGTTATTTTAATCAACTCAATGAAATATCAGTAAAATGTTGCGTTTTTTTTGATATCTAAATATCTATAAAATAGCGCATGTTACCCACTGTTGTAAATGTAGCGCGACAGCGTTTTTAGAGGAAAAATACCTGTATGCAATGCTTCGCCTGCAATAGTTGAAGATGCAGTGAAAATAACTGCGGAAAATGGACGTATAAGATATCTAACAATCATCAATTACATTGATCGTTTATTCCTACCAGAAATAGGCCTGTTTAATCTAAAGTGTATTTTTTTATTACGTGATTGATTGGCGCAAGTAACTCGATATGCATATGGCGCTGCCCTCTACAATTAAATAGATTCGATCCAACATTAGTTCCCGTGTCTTAAAATCGATAGAATACGATAAGCTTTTATAAAATGCAATATAACCCTAAGTGTGACACCCACTAAGCTTATCGAATAGTTAAGGGCCACTCGTAATTCCTCGTAAAACTATCGAGGACAAAAAGCTGCCAGTATTGAAAAACAGACGATGTAAAAACGAGATAATCATTATAACAAACTAGCTAGTAAAGATGAGATACTTAACGGCAATGTAACTCTTAAGAGTAGATTTTCACTGGCTAACTAATTAAGTAACATTTGAGGGCTTTAAACGAAAAACATGTAGACGATACAAAAATAGTATCACACTGCTCTCCCACTTCGTATTGTCTATCCTGTAAGGTTATGTATTGTAGTGAACCACTCCGGAGACCTGTGGCCTTACATGCCGGTTTCGGAGTTACAATGGCCACCTATATATATATATTTCGCTAAAGCTGCGATTTCTTTTCTAGGTCTGTTTCACCACATGCATATTCTGTTATGCTGTGCGGTCTTCCGAAGCGTCTTAGTAATTCAGCTCGTGAACAAAACGTCCAGAGAGAACGCATCAAGTCAAGGTTGTTCAGCTATCATCAACGACAGTTATTTTGAAACCCCCTTACAGATAGCGGAATTATTTTTTACACAAAAACGAGTATATAAAAAAGTAATTTCCTAGGTCTTCGGCTTTTAGATCACATTCCGAATCAATAGGGAACGGAAGAATTAACGCCAATCACAAATACGTCAGAAAACTTTGAGCGCTTCCGTGATATTACACAAACATATTGATGATATTAACTTCGATATTTCACTCGATGCAAGCCCTCGTCCGAACACAGGGCGCATAAGATGGCTTAGCACAGATAGTCCAAAAGGCGGTATCCTGGCTAAACAAGGTTATACTTGGACGCTTGATGCACACATATGACACGAGTGGTAATAAAGGAATGTTTATACATCAGGCTCACTTACCATTACAGTCGAGGTAAACTTCATGGGCAAGATCTTTGACGGCTAAGTAAATCCATAAGCCAACTTTGATTTTGAGCCGAAACTTTTTCTCCTGGATGTCGATGGCAACACAGTCCTTCTCCAAAACGTCGTCTGTTTTGCATGTTACCATGACCGATACTGTACAATCATCTTGTAACCAGTCCAAAGGAAATTGTGGTTTTGACGCTGAATCCGACAAAGACAGAAATTTTTAATAATGCCACTGCGTTTATCAGTCGTATTTTGTTAGCACTATAAAACGGTATCACTATGTTTATGGAGACCAACCGCCGCTGGGCCATTGGTTACGATAACTTAAGCCGAAACAGCCGTAGGAAGAACCTTGTGATGAGTCCTGTCAGGTGACCTGCCGATTCATTTTACTTGTGACGCTTCACTTACGGAGTGTTACAGCAGTGCGAAATTACTTTAATAAAACTATACATAGGAAAACTGCGAAGGCTTCGAGAGAATAAGTAATAAGCACAACGAAGGGAAAACGAAGTCACTTACGAAGTAGTTTTAGTTTCAAAATAAGTAGGTGAACTTACTATGAGCTTAGTGCATTCTAGTACTACATATTATGAAAATATATTTTTTAATATATGATTGCTTTTAATTTACATCTGTAAGTTAATCATCCATAACCTACAAAGCACGACAGTCCACATTATGCCTTTAGAGAAAGATAGTAGAAATTCATCGGCAAATTTAAAAGAATCATTTCATTGAGAATTATCAGGATTAACACTGCCATACCACCTAGGGAGCGTCAGACTTACAATATTGTAGATTAAAGACAGGAAAAACTCAAAAAAAAGATGTGCCCATACAACATTCTATTTTATATCACTCAGGAAGTTGAAGGAAACCTTCGGAGACCAACAGCATGGCTTCAGATTTTCAGCCGAAAAAGAGATCGGAGCAAGGGGTAATACTATTTTGTATAAGAGGTCGATGGTTACCTTGACAAACACATGTTGCAAACTGTAAACCTCCGAAGTTTGTTCCGAATGATCAAGCTTAATTACGAAACAATTACACACCCTGGCTTTCAGACCACCATGCGCGGTATATAATATACAACATTAATACGATATATATAAGAGAAAGCCTAAAAAATACGTGCTATATATAATCTACCTGCATTAATTGTTACGACAAAAGCATACAGTAGTCTGCTAATGCGTGAATGTATTTTTGCCCTTACTTCGAATTTGAAAAAAAAGATAAAATTACTTTTAACCTCGAACTGCAGAGAAAACTAACATATGCTCTATTTATTTAATCGGTAAAAGAAAATTCAAATTATTCGCTAGAATTTTTTGCAAATCCGCCTTCGTCACTGTGTCATTAATAAATCAACAGCACGAAAATCTTTCGAAAAAACACTCACCGCTTTCAACACGGTTTAGGGACGTGCAGACTCAAGTCTCTGATGGAAAGCGTCAAATTTAGCTAATCGCTCCATGTTTCATTTAGGTTTTCATCTTATTTTATGAAACCAACATTTTGTAAAGCTAACTTAACAGGTCATCTAAAACTAAGAAACCAATGCCTTAGTGATATTACTGGCAAGGTGTATAAAGCATATTGATTCTGTTTTGTTGTGGAGCAGTCCACGAAGATATCATTAAAGGAAAATCTTTTTGCTTCGAAAATTACGACGAACTTTTTATCCATAACAAAATTTTGCGTTTAGAATTTGCGAAGGTACACTAGCCATTTGTCCCTATACAAGCCATTCCTGAGCTTCTCTTAGACAAGCTGAACCTCTATAATGCAGAGAGCAATGCTCCGTTTCTCGCGCAGATATAGACGGCGTAGGCGATGCCCATATCCAATGTATTTGTACACGAAGTTTACAATTTGAATTCTAAAAAAATCCTCGTCATGTTTCGTCGTGTGAGAAAAATATACGATGGCTCTTTACTGATTTGATTTCAACCTACTTAAAATATAATTGAACGCTGTCATGTTAGAGGACGAAATTTTAACTGTATCTTTCGTCCTTCCGTAATGAAAATGATGCATTAAGTTGCTTACGAGACATTCTTTAAGCCAGCAGTAGGAGCAGCTTCCGCAACTGCAGAAGCTTTTTTTGACTATCAGATAATCAAAGGCAGTAACATTTTCTTATAGGTCAAGCTCCCTACCTACTAGAGGGACAGTCAACGAAGCATCAGTGTTTCGGCCTATGCAGTACTACAGAAATAAAATGGTAGCCAAAGTACCAGTAACAGGGGCAAATAAGGCAGGGCAGTGTATCAGACAACTGTGCGAGAGGCCTGATTCGCCGCTTGAAGCCTTCGAGGCGGGACGGACATCAAAAAGTTCTGTAACACTGTTGTTCGAGACTAACAGCTGAACAGAATGCTGGTTAGGGTAAGCCGCTCGACTGGCAACTAAAGGGGAAGTAACTATTTCTGCGCATGCGTTAAAACTGCGTGTTCGCGCGTGTTAAAATGCAAGGCGTACAAAAATTGTGTCAAGCTGGGCGAAAGAAATAGTAACCAGACAGTTTCAGCATAGTCAAGTCCAATTATGATCGTTTGCGTCCGCGGCATAATCGTTGGACGAAACCAATCAACTTACACTCTGAAACGTGAGATCACAGATAAGTAGCTGACGGTAACTTTCTGTCTGATAACAGCCAGTGACAGTGTACTGAAGAACGTCCAATATAGCTAAATGGCTTTCTGTAAATGAGGGTAGTACGTATCACGCACGTACCCCAGAATATACATACGATTTTAACTAATTGCCTGTCTATAAGGGATCAAGATAACATCGGCTTTCATCACTCGCCACATTCTGTACATGGCTTTTTACTATATTACATAACGCATTTAGCGTTCATGCTATATTTACTGCTCGGCCACTGAGTAAGCATGTTGGCGTTTGTGTTGACACACCAACTGGATTGCAAAATCAAACAACTGGAGCTTTTTGTCCGTTGTAAATACGATTGTACTTAATAGCAAATTATTATAGAAATAATTTATTAGTTATAAGCAATATGATGATTTTTTTTATTGAATAAATATATACATATATATTGTGCGATACGATGCACTTGAAATCATACCCTAACACGCAATGGCCTCCGAGACGGTCGCGTGCTTAATACAGGAGTCAATAAACATTAACATCCACATATGTGACGAAGATTAATAAATCGAAGTTCAACAAATACTCTAAAATTTAGCAATAACAGATGGGTCAGTCTTTATGATTAATTATGACGAGACCCATTCTCAAATATTCTATGTTTTAACTGTTTTTATTCACTACGCTCCCTGGCGGTTTCTTCTCCTGGCCTCACCCAAGGCTTGCCTGCACAGGCTGCCGCATTTATAAAAGTACAAAATATCTAAATTTAATAACTCTAAAAGTAAAAGGTTACACAAATACAACAACTTATGCGTAATATTTCTGTTCTCATTATAAAGAACTGCACTCTCAGCAGTATACTCTATACAAATCAAAATCGCCATCTTAATAGAATAGCATAGTGAAATATAACGCTACCGTGTTCTTATTAGTTGTTTGTTACTTATTAGTATTACCAACAGCTGACATTTATATAATTAATTTACGGCAACAATTCGACATACGGGAAATAAGTATTTTCGCAATTTCGAGCACTACTATTCAATCCTGCTTTCTCTATATGTTGCAATTATTAATGAGCATGTAGGCATGCGAACATTATTTGGCTACACGGATAATCTCACTATGTTGTTACGAAACCTAAATGATAGTAGTGAAACATCTATAAACATGCCATCTTACTTAACTTAAGCTTCACAAGTTTCCTAAACTAGGACAAAAGTGCAACACTACTATAAAATGACCATGGCGTGGTACAGACCAATCAGGAGCACATGAAAATTATGCATTATAACAAATAACATGAATTAAAAATAAATAATGTTTTTTATAATAAATCATTTTTATATAACATTTTGTTTTTCGTAGAAGAAAACAGCCGACATAAAAATTCATTTCTACGTGACAATGAATATTGCCTAATTGCTATACAATTACAGATCGTATTTTTTGACAAATCCTTATTGATTGTATTCGGTCAAGTCGTTAAGAAGTACGCAAGAACAAATGCTTTCGTTCTGCCACAAATGTGCCTAACTGTTTGGAAAATAACTGCCTGCTGTCAAAGTTGTTAGACTTTAGCTTGTCATACATTCGATAACAATCAATAATAACAGTCGAGTTAATGTTAAGGAAAGCTAATAAAAGGTATGAAAGTAAAATATGTGCAATCGTACGACACCTGGTTGACTGCGGCGCGAGCCATGCTCTGAAGTGATCTTACCGGCGGAGCCGTCCGGAACGGTGCTGCCATCCTGCGTAGCTTTCTTAGCGGCGTTGCCAGCGAAGAAGCTGCCCAGCGATTTCGGAAGCGATAAACAGAATATGCCGGCTGCAGTGCAGGGAATCATGGTTTGTGAACGTTTTATGTACAAGAGTGATGTCCCACACGATTGCGTGCACAACCCCACGTCAATGAATTTCAAAGGTAATACCAATGAGTGGTTTGCGATGGCAAAGTACACGAATCCCGAAGCGAAAAGACAGTAGGTCACAGATTTGGGGGCGGGGATGCGTGGGTTGGCACAGAAGTGCATCATAGTTAAGAAATTTGGATGGAAAGAAAACCACACACAAAAGCAAAACACGTCTCCGATCAGTTATAACAGTATTGCACGTCGTGGGTTTTATTGCAAAATAAACAAAAATGTCAGATTAGTCTTGAAGGTAAAATCAAATTTAAGAAATAATAATCTTTTTCTATTGAGCCTATCGGTGATTTTCTTTGTTATATTACAGCAATGCTCTAGGGTTGTCATGTCACGCATAGGGAGAGTGGGGCCAATACATATTTGTGGCAAATCTAATATACACTATTTATCGACCAAAATGAAGCATGGGCTAAGCCATATTTGGAAAACGTTGTTTTCCATATGAATCAGATAAATAAATGAGAATTCAGATTTCTAGACAGTGCAAATAAAAGGGATTAGTGTACCAGGTCCAAAAATAGCAATATTGCAGTAGCAAATACTAAAAAGTGCTGGAAGTTAGCTAAAAATGCAAGACGGCGACTAAATTGAATAAGCTCTACAAATGCACTTTATTTTTCGCATCCTCTATATTGATTAAGAAAACACTGTCAAATAGTAGATGTCTAAGCTTCGTTTCAAGTATCACACCATACACTTACACATGCTTTTTATGTATTTTTCTGTTTGCAGAGGGCTACCCACCAACTAACCGCGCGTCCATATAGTACTTTATAAAACAAAGTCTTGTGTTAAGCACGAAACAGAACCAGCAGCTTCTTGTATTACAGATCGTGGTAGCGATTGCGGTAAATCGAAGCATTAACGGTTACCAAAGGACTCCTTATACTCTTAGCTGTTTTGGCTTACTAATTAATGGTACTCTATTGTGACAAAAGCATTTTTACAGTCATCCTCAATGAAATTTTATATACGGGGAAATAACTAATCGTCGGCTTCAGTTATGAAGCATCAACGGCGTCTACGGCCATCGTTATACTGTAGAATGTATTTTTATGTTTGCCTGGACTGCCGCAGCCCAAGAACTAAGCACTTTTTTTCCTTTCTCTCGCCAGAAGCAGATTTCTGTAGTCGCCAACGTCAGTCAAATATCTGATAATCCCTCTAACAGTTTTTAGCTTAGCAAAATATAGGTGCCGTTTGTACTATAGACGTCCAGAAAACCAGGCCTTTTATGCGCTGAATTAAGGAACTGCTGAGCAGAAAATTATGCTGAGAGGGGTCTCAGCGCAGTGAAATTTATATATAATGTTGGACGGTTACACAGTGCAAATATTGCACATATTAATTTTCAGTTATAATTGAGGTGAAACAGTTCTATAGAAAGAGCAAGTTTGGCATTATGGTTGTATCACAAAGTAATATAATGCAGTCTGTTTAGTCAATAAGATCTAGTTCTGGTTACTACGTCGTCGAATTTTTTCCCACTAATACTATTCAATTAACTATTTTAAACAATGAAATGCACTGATGTCACTTTAATTTCGTTAAAAGTAACAAAAGTCTCGTACTTAATTGAAAACGAGATTTGTAAAAATTTACAAGAACTCTTTTGGGTTAACCTAGTTACGAATCTAATGTCGACTTCGCAACAGCGCCAGATTAGAATCTGTTCCGGTGGTCTTAGCTAATTTATGTGATGGATTCCAATTCGGTGTAAATGCCTCGTCAGCAAATCTATGGCAGCAACGACACCGTAAAATAAATTATTCTAGAAACATCACTTATTCACTTTAATAACACTATCATATCCCGAGCCGGTAGTAAACTCCATTTAAGATTGCTTTTATCAGCATCGTTCGCGCTTTTTATTGTAACAGTACCGACTGTAAGGGCTAAATGAATCCGAAAGCCGCTATTCATTCCGGATACAGTCTGATTTTTGCGATGCGATATTTTTCTGCAATTCCCTAGCAGAATCCTTCTATGTTTGTATTTATTAGGGTGTCGGCTATCATTTGTTTTGTCAGATTTTGAAAAGTAAATCATATACTTATAATACCAAGAGGAATAGGTGAAATAGGGCTAGGCGGATGGTCACCTAACGGCTTACTACTAGACATAATGTAAATGAAGTATATTTTCTTCTGTTTTAAATGAAACTCAAAAAAAATCACAATTGATAATAAAGCCACATGAAAATAAATCACTACTTGAAGGAAGGGAACTGTAACGTTTAAGGAAGAATAAACGGTGGCTAATTAATTATGAGTAAAAATGTTCTTAGAACAACAGCAGCGAGTGGCAATTCATTGCTGGTGGGGTTTGACATAAAACAATAGAAACGTATTATATAATCAATGTCGGTTTTTTACACAATATAGTTAAATATGAGAGAAAAAGAGAAAAGGATTCATTAATGCCCAGCACAAAAAGATCCCAAAAGTGCAATCGTACATACACGGTTCTCGGTCACTGTTTGCTTTACGACAAGGTCAGCACTTACTAGCAATACTAGTAGTCATGATTATTTCGACAAATCAAGAGTGAAAACAACCCACTCTAGTACGTGATTTTTTTTGTTTTTTAAAACATTATATGAAGCTAATATACGAAATTAAGCAAAATATACAACGACCAACGAACTCATTAGTATGAGGTTTACTTGGAAAAACTTTAAACACTTAGAACGGAGTGTGTTCGCTTAGTAAAAGGTTAAAGAATGGAATTAATGAACATCAATGAATTGAATTATGGACAAAACTTGATACAGGCGCTGCGGCAACAAAACGTCTTTATGGATTTTTACCTAAATACTATTTCTGGCGCACCAACTTACTGTGTCTTCGAAGGAGCGTTTCATGATAGAAATGAATTAGTTATTACCTTGCATCAGAAATGGGCGAAAGAGAAATCTGTGTGGGTTTCCTGTTCGCAGAGGGATTGAATATATTGCTACCAGCGATTTGGATCTAAGAGGTAGTCAATGTCCCATCGTTCCGTGAGAGCAGTAGATAAACAGCTGTATACTAATAAATAAAGTACACACTTTCAGGGTGCTTTACCAATGAAACGGTACTTTAAGTTCGCCTTGACGACGAAGAAAAACTATGTATATAATTTACCGTAAAATTATAAACTTTAGAATACAGTTCCAACAATACACATAAAATCGCAATCGCAAAACAACAACAAATGGAGCGCGTTATGATTTTATTACATGACATTTAAGCTTCGCTACTGTTTTTTTTGTTGCTTTTAGTCGTACCGTAATCCTTAGAATGAATTACTAAAGATAAAATATAATATCCATACAAATTGCATGGATCCATGTCTATCACTACTTCGAACTCTGACAACCACAATTGCTAATGTATAGTATACAGCGCAAAAAGTTGAGCCACTTACACTTTTTTGATGGAGCCATATTGCCCTCAAGAGGTGCTTTCTTTGGACTATTTGATCCTGGTGCATGAGCGAGTTTTCCGACGAGACACTTGTCCAGCATCGACTCGTAGTTAACCCATGCGTGCACCTGATTGAATAAGTCCGTCGCGTCGCTGCCGACCCCTCGCATTAACTCCTCCTCACCACCCGGATGAAAATCTAGATAGCGAGTCACGTTGTACACGTTGCCTGATACATTAAGGAAGGGAACAAACACGCATGAAGTTAGAAAGCCAAGAATCGTCCGTCGACTGACGCGCTGGCGCGCGCCTGGCAACCGGGGACCTTGGGGGCTGAACTTGATGAAGGGTTGTCCAGCTGAATAGGTGGGAGAATCTAAGGCTTGTATACCAACAGCAGCTGGTGAGAGACCGGTAAATCGCTCCGATTAATGTTGTCTGCATCGGCTGCCCTCACCACCATTATAGCTGCTAGCACCATTACCACTCTACTGCAGTTTCTGCGGTTATTAGCAATTCTGGGCAAGACCAGCTAAGAACAAAATTGTATTGTATATATATGAAGGTCTTCGAGCATTTAAGGAGCACAAGATGTTTCAACTCTGAATTTTTCCTGGCAGCTATGTTTACTTAAGCAACAAATGAGCTCGTTGTCAGATAATTGTCCTCTTTTGCATCGATCTGATCGCATAGACCGATGTTATCGGGCCCTTGGTTGTCTGTAATATAAATAGCAACCTGCTTAAAGAACTTACGAGTTTCAATTGTCTTAGCGATTGCGCTTTCAAGCGTTTTTGCAAAATAAGAAGTTAGCTAGACAGGCTAAACAGTGTATACGGTTTGCGTGGCTGATCTTGGGTAACAGGAAATAGTTAACTTCATCTAACGTCATTAGTTATACGTTTGACAGTTAGAACTCTTTGTAGACGGAGACGAATTTCGAGCTGAAACACTTTAGTGGTTCGCCTGGCATACTAGGCGAACTAGCAACTTGTGTGGCCCCCAGGCGGTGTACAGGTAGCAATATGCCACATTAAGGAATCACCTCCAATATATGCATGTATATAGAACATTTCGATCGAGGCTCGGAGACTTAAATTTTCGATATTGGGGCTCGATCCGTAAGAATGGCGTAGAATATTCATATATTCAAAGATACCGTCTTTATTGTATCAACTATTATTACATTATCATTATTCCGTTCCAGTACAACATAAAAATGCAAATTTCTCGAAGAATATGCATGGTTGTTTTTCGCTTGTAGCCAAATAAGTTCACAATCCAATTTTATATGCACGCCATCACGTACCATTTAATAATGTATATCATAGCATGAAACATAACATAATGCTCACTCAATAGCAATATTTTTTTTATCCTTTATAGCTATTATATTCCAATCCAATTTTACTCCTATGTAAAGAATACTTTAGAAATTCATTAAAACAAGAACGCCGAGATTATCAATATAAATTCATTCAGATTTCGGTCTACGCGTTAAAAATCGGGTCCCATCATAAAGTGTAGGACAAATCGCCGAGTTATGTGGTATACACGTACTGATGATTTCTATTTTGATTTAGTGATATAATCTCAGACAAATCCGTAGCTACTGCAATTAGAAAACATAACTTTCTTGGTAATCATCAAACTTGGACATCAAAATTTTGGGTGCATAAACAAGTTAGGTTCTAATGGAGTCATCTATAAATTGCTGAGCAAATGTGTAAAGACATAAGTCAGGAGGCAAAATAAAGGGGTCCGCTCTCGTCATCCAGTCTCGGACAAAAGTCCAGGCACCAGCAGTTCGTTAACGGCGTTACAGAGAAACATCATTCTTGAAGTGTCAGTTCATAAACATTACGTCGAGCTAGCGATAACTGTACTAGACTTGGCCATCAGTTTTCTCTGCAATCTGATTTCCCATTAAAGAGCTAAATTATTAATAATTAACTTTTCTATAAAAGTAAAGCTCGACGAAAAAATTCGAATCAAACGTACATGTTATTTCAAATGCGGTGGGTTTATCTAACCCCAAAAAATATCACTTACGATAATTTTTCAAATAGCAAATATGATACGTATAGTAAATACCGAGCAAAATACAATAGGAATCAAGGAAACCCAGTAGAAACTGAAAGCGAGAAACAACAACGCCTCTGAGTTCTATTGCTAAGCCGTAATTACTCACGAGATGTCTATAAGGGATGTTATATTGGTAAAGGTTCATTGCCTTTCTTTTACGAATTCCGTAAATTGATTTGGCCAACCTGAATGCTGAGGTAACAAAAACACGTCACATATGCTTTTTTAGTAACCCCGCAACATATAAACCATTAAAAATTATCCCGAAATTTAAATTAGCTTAGACAAAATCACAAATCAAGCGCAAAGACAAAATCTTTGCGCTTGCTGTAATCGTTCTTTTATACATTTTATATGCTAATTATATGTCTGCGGAACTTTACTGACTGAAGAAAGAAATAGTCAGATTCAACTCTTCTTCTGATTTACGAATAAATGGGTCTTACGGGGGAGACTAAATAGTAGACACGCAAATGAGTTCAGTTTACAAACCTTGTAGTGACATTTTCTAAAAGAGGATACTGTTAACCAGATTACAGCTTGCACGTCGCAATTCGAATTCTGTCTGTTGTTCCCTATAGTAACGATTAGTAGAGGTGAATAAACAAGTGAACTTGTTATTCGTCAAATTGCTTTAGGGTTTCAAGTCTTATTGTTTACGTACACAGGTGTTCACAGCTTGTTTTCTTGATATAATCAAACAAAGAAGTGTCACGCCCCCATTCCTCCTCAGTGTCTCCATGTACCTACCTTTTATGCATATCCATGCATCGTCAGGTGTGCAATGCTTTTCCAGCTCTTCCGGAGTCACCCGAAGAGTTCTTCCACCGGTGCCTGCCAAATCTTCTCTATGTGCTAACCGAATCCAATCAACAAGAGAATGCCCGGGGGCCAAGGCAACCTTGTTCCGGCCTATTGAGTAAAGTGTATCTTATTAATTCATTGTACAAATTGAAATGAAAACTTACAGGCAATGACCAAGTACTTCGTGAAAATCTAGGTCATCCATTCGAAATACTCGCTTTCTACTAATAACAGACGTTCAGGCATAATAAAATGAGAGACGCTGCCGGAAAAGTAAAATATCTTAACCTTCAACCATCTAAACTTCCAACACTCACTGTTTGAACCTCAAGATAAAAAGACTATACAAATATAAATGCATATTTATGGTGAAATATATCGTGATTAATTTTCTTTGTTCAGTGATCTAACAGTGTGCGGCATATATGTACTAAGCGATGGTTGCAGCTACAGTTGAGGCAGTGTTAGAGAGAGGCATCATCCTGAGATGAGTACTGAATTGCCATAACACACGAGACAAGCAATATTTAGCGAAAGTGTAGTGATATCTCCCAAAGATTCGAAAGCACTGGAGACGGTTTCAGCATGTACAATTAATACTTTGAGGTGTCCGTAAACTGATCCGATAGCGTGGAGAGTATACGCATTAAAATAAAAAAAACGCTTGTCCAAAAATGGACTTAACCATTTTATTAGCTCCTAAAAGCTTAACTGATCAACCACATTAGACGATGGTAGTGTGATTCGTTCAGATCTCCAGCCCGCTTTATTATAAAAGGTCTCAATTTTAAATCACTAGCTGTTCACATTTGCCATCGGCCGGTTACTAAAAAAACACATTTCTTTGTCACTACAGGAAAAAAGTTTCAACAAGTGAATAAACGTGACACCAATATTTTAAGATAAGATCAGAACGTATAGTTATGACAACTGATCGTCAAACCAGCTGTCTTCTATTCGTTTCATAGATACTGTGGCAGTGCCGTTTTCTGTACTGGAAAGCCAACACAAATTCACTTTCAGCAACCGTTGAAATCTCTTAACAGCATTCGATCGTTCCTGTGACAATTTGCAGTTGCTAGCTCAACTTTGTACACCTCGTTTTTTAACTCACTGCATAGAGGGTCGAGGAGCTTCAAGAAGGTATAGGGTAGAAAACTTCTCTTTACCGCGTGTTTTAAAAAGACTCAGGCCCGTCTAAGGCTGAACTGGGGCTAAGGAGGCGTAATAGGCTATATATTGCAATAAAAATCTATGCACTCATGCAATCGGCGGCCAGAAAGCTTGTTGGAGGTTGCCCGAATCCTTTAGAAACAACTGCGTAATTCGGTATCCGTCCATAAAATAGTGTTATTCTCCCTGACCTGAGTCAATCAGAGATTTTAATCCCAGATTCAAAATTAGCTCATAGGTGGCCAGTGCATTGGTTTACAAATTAAGTGGGTAGACAAAACATCTCTAATTATAATCAAACTGATCTGTCTAGAAAATAATATTCGCCATTAACAGGCTATTACAGCAGACAACTAAATAGCTTTTCTGGCGACCTTCACATAGCTGATTAGTTATATGCTGTGTTACATAGTCCAGAACTGAACTAGGAACTATTTCTTCCTTGCCTAACTATCTGCGTCGTTATTACCAAATATTGAAAGCATCTATTATAACTTTGGCTTTCGAAAACCCCGTGAAGTCTCCGCAAGTGTGAACACGTTTTATTTTATTGAATATTTTTTGTTTTCTTCGTTCATGGATCACGTTTTTATGATGTAGTAGTAGTCTTTACAAAAAGAAATGTGACAATAAACTGTCATGTACTACAAACCTTTTCCCAAATTAGGTTCTACTCAACATTCCCGTGATAGCTTAGTAGGTAACATACTTGTACCTTAATCTTAGGGACACGTTGTAGTCTAGATTTGAATAGACAGACTTTTTTGGTGTTGAGAGCCAGTGATCTACCTGATGGAATGCTCAACGGCAATACCGGACGTAAAACTTGAAACACAGAAGTTTTAGTATCGTACTGACTCACGCAAAAAGCCACATTTTTTAAAAGTTAAAAGTCGGGCGAATCGCACCCGGTGTCACCCCAAAAAAAACAGTAAGCCAATAATCCATCTGTACCTCGTGGTCATGAAAATTTTTTTTACCACACACCGTACTTTTAGAATCAAATTACTCTTGGCCCGTTGTGCTCCACTAATAAAGAGGGATGCACTTATCTAGCTGAGGTAAGTGGCAATCCGACTGAATTTGTAGCATCTGGGATGTTTTCTTGAACGCATGGCCATTTGAAGCGGCAGTATTATTATTATATCCACAATTAACCAAACTTCGAGCCATCAAACTCTCTCCTATTTGCTATAGTCAGACGGTTGACTTTTTATTGGCTTTGGCCACTTCAAATAATTACGATACACGTGAGAGCAGTAGGAACATGCATGCACTTCCTCATTCATAGGCTTTTACTATTGCTTTACCGGAACCGGTAGCGTTTGACGTAAGTGTGGTGCTCCTTTTTTCCCCATCCGAAGCCATTTTAAGCCGTTGAATAGACGGAAGCACTTATCCAATGTACTTATTTTTCAACGCCAGCATTTACGAATTTTTGAACATTTGCTGTGCACAGCTTATTCTAGAATTCACTATACACTCTCCTTCAGTATAGCACGAAGAGTGAAGTCACATTAATGTCGAATCAGTCCAGAACCGCGAAGAGCTACTGTTGGCGCGAGGTATACCGTTCATTTACAAGGTTCATTTCCGATTAAAAATTGTATTTATTTGGCCAAAAACTGATAGGGCCGTCGCATGAGATTACAAGAATCAGCATGTCAGAACGAATAGCTTAAGATATTCATCAGAAAAGCCCCCTGACAATCAGCTGCTGTGCCACCGAGGTGCGTTCCAAATTTCACGCACTTTGTGAGGAAAAGTAGCGCAACAGCTGACGATGCCAAATACGCGCCAAGCTTTAAACGTTAATAGGTCTGCAGTCGGCTCAAAACATATTGTTCTTACCACAAAGTTTTTTTACAATTACCTAGCAAACCATTGACGATACATTATCGTATTAATCATTCGGTGAGCAAAGATTACCACACGGCATTTCAATCGAATAACTAAGCCCACTGTGAGGCCGCAGCGCCCTCTTTTGGTGACTAGAATAAGTGGCTTGTTTTCGGCGCCAAAAGAAATCGAATACGATGTCTTGACTTCTAGGTGCCGCTAGCGAAGATCTCTTAGGCCCCATCTGACGGCCCTGGCTATAGATACATCGGATGCGCCTCTCCCAACCAAAACAGCCCGTGAAAAACGCCTAATCGCCTGCTGCAGTGTCATGAAGTATATTCCGTGCAAAGAACTTTAATATTTTTAGTTTATTCGTGCTATACCTTATATTTGACTCGTAAGAAGTGATAATTATTAGATCTACAGGCCTACATACTTAATAATCAGATGATGGAGACTTACTGTCAAATATCAAATAGCCTTTACTCTTGTGTTTGGTCCAGAATATACTAAGCAAACCTCTTGGATTAACAACTGACTTGATATCCATGGATTATAATGTGATTTTATATTACGGATGAAGGTGTCTTGGTCATTTGTCAAGCGGGATACAACGAAATGACCAGGAATATATCAAGCAGATGTTCCCAAGAAAGTGTCGTCACTCGTATTGATTACAGGCAGACAGCGGCTGTTTTTTAATCAAAGTATATCTGATATGTTTAGAGGTGGTTTTACCACATTGGGAAATAAATAAATTGAAGTGTAACATCAACTTATACACGGAAGTTCACTGTGCTGTGATGGCATGGCGATGGAGGGTACGGTGAGCGAGGATTTTCTCGCGGACTGTGAAGTTCTTCGCAACCCCGTCGCAGAATCATCCAGGCTTGAAGAGTCTCTACTCGAGGAGGGCCGTAGTAGATTCGAGTCGTCAGGTGATCCGCAGCACAATAACAATAAAGACGAGGTGGGCCAAAATTTGGGTTCCCACAATGAATCAAGAGATACTAACAGTGACCACACATCACGCGATCACACAAATGAGCAGGAAGATCCAAAGAAAGATGAACAGACCGAAGTTCAGGAATTGGCTCAGCTGAGCGCTGAAGAGCTTATGGAAAAGGTAATCAATTTGTTCAATATGCTGCTTCCTCCCTGCTATGCCTGTGTTAACTGTGTTAACATTTCGAAAATACATTAGTCTTTATAGGAACTCTACATAAAATAACGAGTATGTATAGAATACTGCCAGTAATAAGATCTGCCTACATTAATTTGATTTATACGAAATGTATCAGTCGGTCATTTAATGGCGTATATATTTGCACGGTACGTGTTATGAAGTGCATGAATAGTTTGAGTTAATTTTTCCTTCTAGTTAGGTAGGTAGAATCGGCACTACTAGCAAAGATGCTGGTACATAGGAGAAATTCGCTTCTAGCCTATATACGTGGAAACTTTAAAGTAAATACAGAACTTTATAGCAGTATTTAGATCCCTAAAAAAGGTATTTTTACTAAGTCTACTTAATCGAGGATACAAGGCTAGCCTCTAAGTGACTAGCCTGCGTCGTGCTAAGAAATACTGCAATTACCTAAAGCATAAGATTTTCATGACTAGTGAAATTTATTATTATACGATCTTTGATGTGAACATTCTCAAAGGGACACGGGGGTTCCATAGGATAAAGGTAATAAACAATGTGCACAATAAAGAAACAACATAAATACACGCTGGGCCAATAGTCGCTTTTTTCTTGTCCATACGTTCGTGAGCAATATTTAGTAGCTTTAAGCAAGAAAAATGCAAAAGCTTTTTTTTTACAATAAGTAATTCGCTGCTTATTCTCTCCGGAGTATCAGTCGGCGTCAGGCTATATGAAAATATAATACATATTGTGACAATGCATGCCCAACGAAATCCAAATGCGGCTATACTCAAGTCATTTTTTAAGTAAGTTAGGTTGATATCAATTTAATTTCAACAAAAATAATGTTCAAGAATTCTTGGCTTCCTCGTAGTCTCAAATCTTTGTTCCGATAACACAGATATGCCTTAGTTGAAGAACGGTACTGTCTTTATAATAAATCTAGACAGTTAGCCGACTGGGAGGTTTTGTACCTACGCATGTTATTTTCGGCATATGCGGGATACAAGACTAAAAGAAATACAGATTATTCCTACTATACCTAAATGCCATTAGTGTATTGCGCTGACGATACAAAGACGGAAAAAATCGAACAAAGTTTATGTAAAACAATCGTTATAATCTGCACTGAAATGGCGCTGAAACACGTCAGTATTGAACTTTATCAGGTAACATTCGTTATTATTCATTTCAGGGTAGTTTCTAAATTTTTTACAAATGATAACATCGCGTTTTACAAATAATCCTATACATGAGCTAGAAAAAAAACTTTTCAAAGTATTTATATTTTCTAATTCGACTTTTAGCTGGATCACTTGAAAACGATAGCCTACTCACTTGGGCAAAGTGAGGCTCACGAAATGACTCGTGGCAGGCTACTAGACGTATTTGGAATGAGCAAATCTCGCCGCTGAAGGGGACCAGACGTCTGCTACAACCTACGAGCAAATCGACACAACACCCACGATCTACCAACAAATGGCTAGCGGCAATTGTCTTCCATAATTACAAAATCTTATAAGGAATGTCTCCATTAAAACTGTTGTTGAGTCCAGGTCTTGGTCTTTTAGCTTCTATCACGTTGAAATATGTAACGGTAATGCTCATTCATTTGCGTACTATACGTGGTAGTTTCGTTTGTAGACCCATCCACATAAACACGCCTGAAATCTTATAAGGAATGTCTCCATTAAAACTGTTGTTGAGTCCAGGTCTTGGTCTTTTAGCTTCTATCACGTTGAAATATATGTGAGATTAATGACGTCAATTAGTAGCCAAAATATGTGACGGTTATAACAATTATGTTACATTTTTATTGAAATGTAAATAGGGGTTAACATATTGTGGTTAGTCTGATATATTTTTCTTGATTTACGTCACATACACACTGCAATAATAACTAAAGTCTTATTTTGGAGCGCAGTACACGCATAGCACAAAAGTATAGACGATTAAATATAATTCGTTAGCTATAAAAAGTGACATATAGAAGATGCGAGCACAAGATAGCTGAATAATGTCTGATAGAACATAATATTAATAGTCCAAATGAACAAATGAAGGTCCAGGCTATGAATATTTGTACGTACGACTATATGTATGATTATATTTAGCAACTTGTTTCAAGCCTAGTTTATACTTAAGTATTATAAAGTATAAAGCTATAAATTAGAAGTTAATATCTACTCATCGATCATATGAACTTTAAAGATTTCGACTCATAATAAATGCGGTTAGAAACATGAGTTCCTGCATTATACTCTTTGAAACCACTGTGTTTTGTTCGTAGCAGAAGGAGTTTATGGTGCTGTGGCATAAAATTTAAAAACTCGATTCTTTTGTTAATTGCTAGGCGTTATACCAGCAGAAACGAAAATGTGAGATTTATTACTATCGAAGAAAATCAACTGTCGACGACGAAATACACACAGACAGGTAAAATAGTATACATTCGCTTAGTCTTTATTTCTGTAAATTTGCGAATTACAACGACAGCCCTGTTATTTCATTTTTCACTTATCCATGACATTTTTGAATTTAATTTCTCGTGTACATGCTGGTCTGTTGCTAGTCCTGAAAGCAGACCTACGGTCCATTTTTTCACAAGGGTCTTCCCCCTTCTGTCGGCGTTTGTGTGTACTTTTTTTTTTTTTATTTAGTTATCATCCATCTCTTTGTATAGATTCTTTACGCCTGAGTAATAATAATTATCATAATGACAATACGTACTGGTGACTGATTCCACAAATTATATTACGGTAGCCACAATTTCTAAATTTTAGTCCTGATTCAGATCCCCTAATAAGGTCGTGTGAACTAAGTTCAGTTTGCTTTCCTGTAACTTCTCGGCTTGTGATCATTTAAGATTAGTTACTCCGTACTTTGAGCAGCTTTTCGGTGGAAAGTAATAGGAGCGAACATCTTACATAAAACGACTATAGACAATGGTATACCGATGTACAGGTTGTTGTTATACTCTTTATATAGGGCAATAGGTGTGGTATACTAGTATCTGTAGAAAAACACAAAACTAACCGAGCCTAACTCAACCGGGGATCCCGTGTTATCTTATAGATCCAAGTGCAATTACTTAATTTCCCCTGCCTTTTACATATCAAATATTATTCTTTACGTTGATAAACAGTTAACGCCAGCGCCGTTGGAGTACATTATACCGTACCTATTGTTTTCCGCCTCGCCAAAACCTCGCTAGACGTTAAAGTCTAACTCTCAAATATGTCATTGTTGTCACATTTGAGAAATAAACGAAAGAATAATAAATATATGTAATGGTAATGTTGGCTTCTTCAGTATGTCCCAAACTTTTTGGGGTTAATTCGCCCAGATACTAAGCATAAGACAAATGAGTAGTTATCTATTTCAAATCATTAATGATCACTCCGAGAGATCCATGTCATCTCCGGGTGGAGGCGGGGGTGGAGGTTGGTGATCCCTAGGCGGTTCATTAGGCCCCATAGGCCCGAGAATTGACTGGGCGACAGCCTCAGGATTATGGGGGTCTTCTCCACTTCCACCACCACCCCCGCCTCGTTCACGCTCTTCCTCATCGTAGTCCCTCGGGGGTGGAGGTGGCGGTTTTTTTGACATTGATCGCGATCGAGATCTGAAACCGTGGCGAAATAGACATGTGATTAGTGAACCACAACAAGAAAATACAACAAAATGCAGATAGGACTAAGAAAACCAAAAACAAAACAAAAAGCAAACACTAACAGCTAATTATTAGCACATATAATGTTATACGCGACCGCCGGTTTATTCAATTATTTATTCAATTGTAGATACTCTGGTCTTGTTTAATATGCTGGATAATTTTCCTCGATTTAATATAAAGAAGCGACTGACTACTAGACATGTAAAAAACAACATGATAAAAAAAAATTAAATTGATACCTTTACATGTGAGTTGCTTTGGGTCGGGATCAATCTCAGCAGTTTCACAAATCTACGCACCTTTTCCTCCTATCTTTGCTCCTGGAGCGGTCTCTCTTCCGATCCCTTGACAAACTGCGCGACTTCTTTCTTTTGCGATCCCGGCTCCGGGATCGTTTTACCCTGGCAGCTCGATCAAGAGAGCGCGATCTGCTTCTTGAAGGCCTCTTCTTTCGTTCTCTTGAACGGCTTCGCTTGGGACGTGAACCAGATCGGCTTCGGCGTTTTTTAATGCCTCTTGAGCCACTGCGCCGGCGGCGGTCACGTGACCTGGAGCGACGGCGACGTTCGCGAGATCTACAATATTTAAATGGAAAAAAGAGCTTTAGTGAAAATTCAATTTGAAATGAAGGTATCTATTTATCTTGGTTGATTGATGGCCGTCTAGATAACGGATCATTACACATAGAAATACCCAGCGACACTTACCGAGACCTGCTTCTTCGTTTATCCTTTTTGTCTTTGTCCTTATCCAATTCTCGCTCTTTGCCTTTGTCCTTTCTCTCAGCTCTGTCTCTACCGCTATCGCTTGCGGTACAGCTAACCTGAGTGTCCTCAGAAAGCGGTGGAGGCGGAATCTGTGTAATTATGTGAACAAGTTAACATATGTTAAGCACGAACAAGTTAATATAAATAATGCAGCCTATTATTCACCATAGAGAAGCTTGCATTTATGCTACGTAAGCGAGAATTTTACGTGAAATTGCACTGATTATCGAGCTTAAATTTTTTTGTAGTGTGTACATTTTCTGTCACCATAATAGCCAAGTAATTATTTAAGGAAGAGAATCACGGATGTTGTGAATTTACATTCCAGAGCCGAAGACATTAATTATATTAGTTTTTTAATTCTGAGATAATCTGGTTAATTCAGATGGTTTGTATCATTAAAGTACCTCAGAATCAGAGCCAGGTGGAGGGGCGGGCCCTTCTTTTGAAGCATCATCAGGAGGCGTTTTAGGACCCAAGCCTTCAGGAGTTTTTGGGCCTCCACTTCGTTCCTTAGCACTCTTATCCTTGTCGCCACCTTTGTCCTTCGTGCTGTCCTTGGAGTCTTTGTCCTTGCGATCCTTTGAACGCTTGCGTTCACGCGAACGGCGACGTGACCTTGAGCGGCGTCTCGAACGAGACCTAGCAATCGAAAAATGGAATGTGGATATATTACTCGCTAATTAGAGCAACAAAGTTACTTACCCCTAACATTTCCGCTTACGACAGCGTCTAATTGAGTTCCTTAAATAACGAAAGCTGAAGTTATAATAACAAAGGATCTCCAATCACAATTAAAAATATCAGCCGTTTATTGTAGTAGACAATGCTTGAATATACGATGTACCCAATGTCAAATACTGGCTCGCAGTTTCGAAAAGCATGTATCTATTCAATTATTGCTCATACATTTGACAAACACAAAAACCATCTGTGCTGCACAAAGTTTAAGAAGGAATCTGATTAAAGGAGCTGTTGGGGGGCTCTCAATGGATTGATTGAGGTAAGTCACAAGCACTAAAGAATTATTAGCTTTTTAGTAATTCTTTCATTACTGCTATTTACAACAGTTTTTCTGAAACAAATTGAAGCAAATTTGGTTCTCCTCGAGGGTCTCTTAAATACGCTTAAGGTATGAAAAATATTTCATTTTGTGGCAAATACGTTCCAATATCTTAGCCTTGCTTTAAACCAGATTAGTATTAGGGGCAACGTTAGGGCAACTGTGCTGACCTGTAACACTGTACATTCGAAGGAGTCTTCTATTCTAGAAATAATCCGTATTTCTTTACATTAACCTTTTTAAGGCCACTCTCTTTAAGCGAAGTTAATCTACAGGCAGTGCTGCTTGGTGATTTTATCTGCAAAAGGACATCGGACAAAAAATCGCATCCAACAAAGCATACACAAAACATTTAAGCAAAAATCAACTCCTCAAAACGCGCACATACGATAGGTGATTTTGCCTACATCATACTATCGTGCACTGCGCGTGTACGTTTTCAACGAGTAAATAAGCTAAGAGAATTAACGTGAATGTGTGGAAACCATACCTCCTCCAATTTAAAAGTATCAGATATCCACACAAACCATTATGGAGTCTATTTTGATTAGTTCAGTAATATTTGCAGCTGATGTTTAGTACTTCCTTTGTATTTCGACCGATTTACTAGTTCATAAGCCATTGTCTCCAAAATAGATCAATCTTAAAGCACCAGCCTTATTGAAATCTATCGCACACGTCAAGAGCAAGTAACAGAATGCCCAAGTACCTCTTGCGTGAACGGGACCTCTTCCGCTCCCTCGAACGTTTTCTCTCCCTAGAACGACTTCTTCTGAGTCGGCCTTTGCTTCGCGAGCGCGACCTCGACCGACTTCTCGACCTTCTTCGACGACTACGGCTTGAACTGCGTGATCTTTTGCGCGTTCGGCTTCGTGATCGGCTGCGAGCTTTGTTCGACTGACTTTTAGACTGAAGAGTTTCGGCGTTAAGTCGAGGATCAGCCTGGTGACTTGGTTTGATAATAGCCGTTGAACTATGAGAAACGACCATTGCCCGACTTCCCAGTAGTGTCCCATTGAATTGGAAGGCATTGCCCACTGTTTGCTGTTCGCTGAACTCGACAAACGCGTGCTTCATGGGTGCACCAGACTCACCTCCCATTCGAACGTATTTCACCTAAATGAAAGAGATAAAAAAGTTTAGAATTAGTTCCTATCGTTATAGGTAATAATTATGACCGGGAACCTTACTCGTTAAAAAAGAGGGGAATGAACTGGGTAGGAGCTTTCCTATTTTGTTGATTCAAATAGTTAACTATGATATTCACTGGTTACCTCCACTTTAAAATCATGGCTTTTAAAAACTTTCAAATGCTTCTTATAGAAACTAAATGTACCGTCTCTCGAAAAACGTATACACTGAACTTACTTCGCCGCATTGGGAGAAGAACTTCAGGACCATCTCATTTGTGAGATTAGGGTCGAGGTTTCCTACATAGATAGTTCGACGAATCTCCTCGATATTTTCATCTGAAAGTCCAGCTGGTAAAGCGGGATAGTTTGGAGCGCCCTTGGCAGCCAGGGTTGGATCAATTGTATTTATCACCCTGGCTCCAGCGGCGTTCGTACTTAACTCATTGGTAAGCTTGCGTGGTGCTTCGTTTGACTCTTCAGGACCACCCATCACAGGCGCGAGAGGCGCCAGTTTGAAAATGGCATATTCTTCGTCCGGGACCTACAAATAGATATATTTAGATTGCTGAATAATCTAAACTCGTACAACTGTGCTTAAAAAATGTAGGGTTTGCTTTAGTTACACTACAAAAACGTGTGGAGAGAAAATGCCGTTTGCTGTAAAATGGTTCGTGTAGGAGTATAGCCTGCATAGAGAAAGTACACCCAAATTACTTAGTGCAAATTTTTCAAAGCTCCCGCATCACTAGCGACTGATACTAAGCGTACGACAGGTTATTAATAAGCCTAATAATAGCGTCTCTATATCGGTGTACCGATACGAAGGATGAAACAAATGATTTTGTTTTAAAAGTTTTTTTTGCGGTTCATACAACTAGAGTTATAATACAATTTTGATATTTAACCCAAGTATGCCTTGTTTGTAGCTCTTAACACCAACGAAAGGTATTACTCCCCTATATGGCTGATATTAGCGTGTTTAGAAAACGAGATCACTCTTTTATAACGCGCTGTGTTAAACGTCCTCGAAACACTTTTCTAGCAAGCATTTACTGGAGTATTATTATTATTATTGTCACATTGCATAATTCATTTTCATAATTTTGCAGGTTGAAGTATAAATAAAACGATAAAAACATGGTTCTTGTCCTAACCATTCCGTAAGTGTGTCGAAAACGGTGTGAGTAATAATTCTAAATTTACTCTTTTACAATGAATGCAGTCAATCGCAAAATTCACCCAACATTATAACCATATATCGAAAAACGTGGTTAAGAAGACATTTTAATAAGCAGTCTAGCGACATCTACAGCATCACGGGTCTTTGATTAATTGCCAAGGTACTATCGGCACCACACTTACCTGGTCATCTTCCATTGGATAGATGAGAATCTGCCGCTCCATAAATTGCACCGAATTAAGGTGCATGGCCACACCAACTGAGGACCGGTCGACGAATTTAACATAACACAATCGAGTGCCATTGTCGAGTGTATGCTCCTTCGATGGATAAAGACGCAAATCGTCGATAGTCCCAACGAATGAGAACAGAGTCTGCAGCTGCTCTTTAGTTACAGCCGGCGAAACATTCGATACCTGAATCACACGTGCTTCTACCAACTGGGTCATTTTGTAGGCAGGCCCTTTCTCGCAGCCCCAGTCAGTCAGACTCAAGGCCTGTTGCTGCCTTCTATTACGAAGGCGCGTCCAAACGATTACCGGATGTTCTGTCAAGGCTTGACTCGGTGCGAAATAATGGACACGAAGAAGAAAACGTTTTGTGTGCGTCGGCTTGCGCTGCCCTAACTAGTCGTTCTGCAAGTACAAGCGTCAACGGACAGAACTATACCCGCAGAGCGTTTGTAGCCGCCCCTTTTCTGTGTAGAAGCGGTGGCGACGACAACGCTACTCTGTACTGAACCGAACTGCCGCTCTCAGCGAGCCTCAACAACACAAACACAGTAGAACTTTCTTCAGCAAGGCACCGATCGACCGACGAATGAAAACATCAAAATGAGACGCCAGCGACATCAACACGAAAAAGGATAACCGCGAAAAAAATCGACTGCTCTTATTTCACTATTGGATGGATGGCTACCATCGTCGTCGTCGTGGTGGAATTTTCGTCTGCAAAGCGTCTGCTCGGTAGCAGTATGAGCGATCGACGCGGATTGCTAAGCGGCCGGAAACCGCAATGTTTTCAAGTGCGATGTCTGATAGACGTAGAACAAGAAGACAGACTGAGCTTTGAGCGTTGGAAGCCCGTGCTTGGAAATGCAAAGAATAGGGCTGCCACGTACCACAGAAGGAAAAAGCGAATGCACCCTTAAGTGATAAAAACGTTTACAAATGTTTAAGAAGATTTTTTGTGATAGCAAATTTATTCACAAGTTTGTATTTGGGAGGGCCTTGCAGCGGAAAGTAATGTCTTGATTGAACGCCGCTTTCGCCTTTGCCGCTGATAAGATAGATCAGCGACAGAAACGATGTTTATTCTTGCTATTGTACTCATCATATTTAATCCTGCCGGGAATTTAGACTGCTTTCGGTTTTGCTCGGCACCCCCTAAATTCACTTCATCTTCTGCTCTCTGTTTAATTATCATTGACTTCTGTTTTTTTTTATAGTGGCAGCCAAAGTGCTACAGCAATGCTATGAGCAACATCAAGCTAACAGCAGACGACAAAAACCAGTGAGCAATACATAGGCGGGCGGTGATAGTGCTATTTGTTCTGTGGGCGACAAAAGCAACCGCGTCTGCTACTATGAAGTGTCGAATTGCTCGTTGACTCTCTCTTCTTTGCCAGTTGTTATTGTTATTGTTGAAGCAACGTTAACTGAGTCATGGGGTTAGTTGATGTTGTTTGTACGACTCGTGCTGCCGCGGCTGCTTAACTGGATCACTGGTTGGTTGTTGTCGTTGGTTGATGGTGAGTCCTGCTGATACTGCTGCTGTTAGAAACGAAGGTGTCCGGGCATGATAGATTCTATTGGATATCAGAAAAAAATTATTTTGCTGGGCTGCCGCCAGTGTCAATGGCACGGAACCGACTCCGATAGGGCGCTGGAGATCTAACAATGTTCATAGTGAATCCGTTCATGGTCTAAATTTCGAGTGAAGCAAGATCGTAGCAAATAAAATAACCTCTCTATTCAAAGGAAAGCTAGCCTCGAATACAGAAAGAAAAGTGCGAGAAAAAGCGAGTTGTTACTGTTTCTATAATGGAGCTATGAACATAACCATTATATCATTGCAAATTCCGTAGGTGGTTCGCATACACGTCTATTATCGACGAGCAACTATCCCCAAGCAGGCTCACTTCTTATTTCCCGTTCGTGTTCAATATGCAATGGATGGGTACTAATTCGCTTGGGTGCTTGAGAGCGAATCTCATCGGTATGTGGCTGCCTGTTGGCAGTATGATTGCTTGTATGATTGGATAATTACTTGCCTGTGAATGTAAGTTTCAACGGGTAACCAGTTATTCAAAGAGTGAGTTTGGTGTTCACCTCTATCAGCACTAGCGATGGAAAACAGTAATCTGTGCGTTCGTGATTGGACGAGATGAAGAGGTAGATCAAAACAAGGATCGATGGACAAAGAGAAAAACAACAATATACAACAACACACGTATCTAGCTGTCTAGCTTGTTTTTCTGCTTACGTGCGTCGTGCAAGCTGACGTTATACCTACTAGTCATAGGTGAGGGCGAAACGCACAGTACGCAGCTTCCTAACTGTATCGAGGCTTTCTGAGGCTTCCTGCCGAGTTCGGAGATCAGGCGATCGTTACCATCGGACCCCGACTAAACTCAGAAAGCGAAGTTCTTTTTCATTTTTCTCTTTTAGCGTGGTTGATGGGGCTGAAGCAATATCAGCTTTCGCCGCAGCAGGCGAGCCGTCGAGGACGACTCGAAGGGCTACAACAGTAACAACAACTAATGAAAAACTGGTGACGGAATTCGCAGATACAAAGCAACAGAAATCGTCGTCGTCGATATTACTGGCGTAGCAAATTTGTCATTTTCGTAGAGTTTCTTAGAACGTACGTATGGATCAAGACAGGCATGTATACATAGGGAGAAAAGAACACCAAACGAAATTCAGTAACCTGCAAACTCGTTGAGAAAGAACGGAAGTGCAAAACCATATATCAGCTAGCTAATTTACTCTTCACCAATAGAAGTGGATGCGGAACATTATCTAACGAAGTTGGTGAAAACGGACGCTTCTACCATGAATCCTGTGAGTAGATTGCATTGCGAGGGTTACATGTGTATTGGAAACATAGCCAATATCATGCATGGTATATTATTAATCGTCCTGGTATCGCCTTGCTTAGGAGGACAAGATGCTAGTCACGGTTCAATTCCAGCGTTGAAATGGTGTTTGCTTACATCAGATAACCCAGGCAGACGACTCAGCTGGCTAAGCAGGTTGTCAAAACACGTGGTTAGAAGGAGGATGATCAAGTTTATTGTTGCTCTAAAACTTGAAACAATAAAATGAACAGATAAACTGTACTGCAGGCAACGTCTCCGACGACGGTAGAAATTATGCTGTTGCCGGAATAAACATTTCGCCGACTTTTTTGCCTATCCTATCCATTTTGATTGTCTTTTTTCTTGATCCTTAAGGGGGTTAATGTACCTCTAATTGTCTTTGCATATTGGAACATTTTTGGGAGTATTATATATAAAAGAAAAGTACGTGAAACATTACAAGATCTAAAACTAGAAATTTAGCAAGTTTGACTTGGGAAAAATTACAAGCTCTCTACAATTAATCTGATTCTATACATATTGTAATTATACACTTTGATTCATCGATGTCTTCGACGTGCAGCTAACAAACGTTACCAGTATTAATGAGCTTTAGATGTTGTTATTGAGTTTCAGTGTGCCCAGCAGGTTTGCTGTGTGCAAAACGCATAAATCTGGAATGCTAATTTGTACTTTCTGCGATCGTTTTATTTATTACTACAGTTATAACTGACTATAGCAGCACACTATGCAGTCAAGACGATTCATATTTCAAACTTATGAACATTATGTTCTTCAGTATTGTGCTGTTATAGTACAACTTGGAAAATCATATTTCAAACGAAAAAAGCATTCTCAGTATGGTATGGCCTATCAGCCTTCGCGTTCAACTAGAGCATAATTATCTTCATCATGTGTTCATTTAGCTCGACTAACTAACTGAGACCGTAAGTTTTTTGCAATATTATTGAATTTACTGCACGAAAGCACCACAGAATACCGGCGTAAAAGAATCCTAAAATTGTCAACAGTTAACTTGCACTTACTATGCAAAAGTTGCAAGACTTGTGTCTCTCAACCAACAGGATCACGTTCATATGTGTGCGTGTTGACAAAAATATCGATTCGACTATTAAAAGGCACTTTAATAGTGTTGTTTTATGCTAACGTTTTTTTGGTAATACTGGCGCACATTGATTTGTGCGACGCTCACTAACTGAATACGTAACGTGCACTAGCAATCGATAAGCTGCACCTTATTCACGATTTGCATGAATTTTTTTAGGCGTTAATCTAAATAAAGAGGGTAACAGAAAAATCAAAAGGGCCAATAGATAGAATAGTTACCTTTATCTTATATATATATCTTTATTTATTTATTATGGGTTGGCCAGAATTTGTCAGAGAACGTATATAGAGACCAATACATATCAACAGAAAGGAAAATAGACTCAGCCTAAAAATGTCCTCCATGAGGTCTGAACCGACGAATTTGTATAAAAACGTTCATCGTACTCTAGGTTTATAGAGTAGCAGTATTAGGAAGCTTATAAAAAGACAATTGCTTCGTTGGAAAAATTTCTTTAGTAGAAACCCGTTAACCGGTGAGTTAAGCCATTAATCGAAGGTTCCAACATATCCGGGCGGCATTTCACGGACCTAAGTTTCTAATTGTTATTATTGTTATTGACCAATAATTATATTCGTCCTTAAGTTTCTTGATTTCTGAGAACCGATTCTAGAACTTTCGAAGCGAAAACGTTCTTGCGTGACTGAAAGAAGTTATTTCAATGAAAGCACAAGCTTTTGTCGTTTGGTTAAACGCACTTCGAGAATGAAGTCAGACTCAATTATTTTGGCCAGAAAAAACTTTTTGGTTTTACCATTAGAGTTTGCAAAGTGTCAGCAGATTCGAAAAGTTCAGCTTGTTACCAATAAGCAAATAAACGACAATTAATTGAAGTGTATATGGAAATTGCTACTGAAGTTAATTATCAAAGAAAGGTTTCAAGTGTTTTAGATGTGATGGCTTGCAGTTTTTTGTATCATTCTTCCATAAACCCGCCAAACCACTACGATCTATTATAAATCAGCTAATACTTAGCAAGGTAGCTGAGTTGTTATTATATTTATTACCAAATTATCTAATGCACAATAAACCCAGCACTATGTACCGGCATATGGTAGGTTGAAAAAGGTTCAGCTGTGCTATTAATTTAACTAATTGTGAACTTTTTCTATAAGTTCAAAATAGGCATCTGAAATTAATTATAATAGACACAGATATTGGATTCTTTGCGAGCCCAGAGGCTTTTTTAGCCCAATGCTTTGCTCTACCTACAACGTTTATGTTGTAGGCATATTGCTTACCTATAACGACAATTTTACAATTTGCTTATCTATGCTACCTCAGCAGGACAAGCATACATTCAACAATCGGTGGCCGATGATGCGGCCGCACCTCATTAAGCTTCTTCGCCAGCAGGACATTTCACATCCAGACTGGCAGGGTTTATTCTGGTAAGTGGTCGAAACGAGGAATATGGCGTCGTTTAATGCGTTACATAGGTAATAGGGTCTACGTGTGTAACGAAATAAAAAAATGTCGAAGTGCGTTAAAAATAAAAGCACTTTGCTATATTTTTGTGTTTTAGGATAACTTTGCTTGATAGGGATTTTTCGTAGTATGCATGTTTATAGTGTGATTTTTGTTTGAAAAAAAAACGTAACTTAGAAGGATAAATATTTAAGATTACTTGATTTCACTTCATTTCTATAGGGATATCCATTCAGTATGCTTGTGGGACGACAAGGGCACCGTACAGTTATATTCCGCTTTAAAGAGCGATATCACAGAGTATATAGCCGACTCACAAAAGGTTTGTATGAAGATCAAGAAAAGCATCTGATAATCAAAATCCAGTAGTGAAATGTCCCTTTGTTTAATAAAATATCCGAGTTGATCACAGCAATCCGTATACATGACATTTCGTCTCAGTATGTGTATCTTATCATAATAACTATCTACGGCTACAGAAGAACCTTAATGAATGTTCTCACGTTGAGCAAATTATTACTTCATTGATAACGAATTGAGAAGTTTGGCTATATTTCTACAGTATTTATACTTGTTTGTCGCTATGATTTTCAGCGGGTACTCGAGAACCAAGAAGATCACGCTCTATTAAAGGCTTACATTCGAGAATGGCGACGATTTTTTGCCCAGTGCGGATATCTGCCGCTACCATTTTCGCAGTGTGATGCTATAGCGCGCCAGAAACTTCAACAATATGGGCTTCAAGTGTCAAACGCTTCCAGTAAACGGGGTGAATAACGTACACCAATAAGGCCATGTACACATTCACTCGAAAGCTTAAATTATGTTCCAATCGCATTACTATTATTATTATTACTACTGACAAAACTGTAAACATGACTTTAAAATTTGTAGGTTTTTAATCTACTACGGCCCTTTCGAAAACCATGTTTAGTCATTAACAGAAAACTAAGTCTTCTTATTAATCTGATTTTTTTTTCTTCAATGATTAGTTGCTTCGAGCAATCAGAGTGAAGTTCGCCAGATGATGTTAGTTTCATGGAATGAGTGCATCTTTCAAAATATTCGCACACGTCTTCAAAGTGCTGCCCTAAAACTCATTGAGGCTGAACGTAACGGAGAGGCGTTCGATACGCAACTTGTCATTGGTGTCCGTGAAAGCTACGTGAATCTCACGGCTGATCCGGATGCTCCACTCGAGGTGAGTTTTGGTGGGCTGTATTAATCGTTAATTTGGTATCATCACAAAAGTTTGAGGAAGTCTTTCGTGCACTATTTACCCACATTCATCAGTACTCTTTCCTTACCTATGAAAAAAATCCACTTACCAGGCCTGTAGGCTAATAATTCACATATAGCTTCTATCTTAGAGACTAAAACGAGTCAATATTAATCCTGTGCTTATTGATCCTAAATCGTTGACATCACAGGTATACCGAACGTACTTTGAAGAGCCCTATCTGACTGCAACGACCGAGTTCTACATGGTGAAGGCACAGGCTTTCCTCCAAGACAACGGAGTTCACGCGTACATGCGGTACGCTGAACAAAAACTCAAAGAAGAGGAGGCCCGAGGCGCGAGATATCTAGAGACAAGCGCTGACTCTGCTTACAAACTTCGTAAATGCCTTGTAGATGAGCTTATCATAAAATATATGGATGTTATTCTTGCAGAATGTCCAGGTAAGCAACTGCTTCGCCCAAAGGTAAAGGCCAGTAAGGGCTTCAGTCTTCACTAATGTATGAAATTCACTTGCCATCAGCTTAGATCATCTTTGGTGTTACTCTTTCTTGCTACTGGAGTGCATAGGAATAGACATTGTATAGACATATGTACCTACTCAATAGGTAATACACCTGCATCGAATCATTTGTATCACCACACTTGTTTCCAACTGCGCTGTTCCACAGCTTTAATTCGTGCGAACGACACGGAGAAATTAGCACTCATGTTCAAGCTGATGGATTATATCGGACAAGTTCAAGAGGAAGACCCGGAACGTGGCAACCAGATAAAAAGTCCCGACACCAGCTCTGAAGATGACGCTTCGCCTGGCATTGTACAGATGCTTGCTCACATGCACGAGTTCATAGTGCAACAGGGTTTAGCCGACATGCGCGCCAATGCGGATACAATTACGCAAGATTGTGAGAAATACGTGGAGGCGCTACTTGAGCTGTTCAATCGATTCTCGAATCTCGTTGAGGAGGCCGCGAACAATGATCCGCGGTTTTTGTCAACGCGAGATAAAGCTTTTGAAGAAATCGTCAATAATTGCAGGTTCGTTTAGATCTGCCTTGAGGTTGCATAGGATTAGAAGACAGAGGTGTAATTTCTTGTGCTTGTCATTAATAATAATTTTGGACTAAAACAGGCGTGTTATTTCGCCTCTTAATTCTAATGAAGGCCTGATAGACAGACCAGAAAAGTTATAGACAGATCATATGAACATATAACAGTACTGGTAAAGAAAACGTATTTGAAAATCGAATTGCTTAGGCGTTTGTGAAACGCGCAGTTGAATTTAACTTTATTTATTAAACCGACCAAAATAAATTTCGCGTTTTTTATTTTATGTATCGCTATAGCATCTTCACAATCCATATGCCCCAGGGAATACAACAAGGTAACCGTTCGAAAGTGGGCAAGACGTCTCCCGAGTCACGCTGTCCTGAGCTTCTTGCGAACTACAGCGATATGCTGCTTCGGCGAACAGCGTTATCAAAGCGTCTGACTAGCGAAGAAATCGATAACAAGCTGGCAGATGTTCTCACGCTTCTACGCTATGTTAAGAACAAGGATGTCTTTATGCGATATCACAAGTATCACCTCACAAGACGGCTCATCCTCGACATCTCAGCCGATAATGAAAAAGAAGAGAACATGGTAAATATTATGGCACAGGAAGCAGGCCTTTTCAGGACACAAATTGCTGAGCGAATTTAATCAGCTTGTTTTTGCTTACAATTCCGCATAGCTGGTAGCACTTTAAGCATAATATGCGTAATTTGAGGGATACGTCATCAATAGTACAAGGCAATTACATAAACATGCGTCACTAATGTCCACTGTGACACAGCTTTTTAATGTTTTCTGACGTTTGGTTTACCGTTAGGTGGAAGACCTTCGAAACGTGGGAATGCCTGCCGACTATATCAATAATATGCTCCGCATGTTCCAAGACATCAAGTTAAGTCAGGACTTGAACCAAGAGTTTAAGGAGTTTAAGGAAGGACCCGCTGTGGGCGCAGTGGCCTCGGGCAGAGGTATCACAGATGTTGTCAATATCAAAATTCTGAATGTTGGGAGCTGGGTGAGGAGCACTGATATTGTACCCGTGTCTTTGCCCATCGAACTTGAGGACCTTATTCCAGAGGTAATTCTCTCGGTATGCCTAATTGCTAAACTAAACTGTACAGCTTTTGGGTGCTTTAGTAATATAACTATAATTCCTATTTATTTATTGTGTAAAACCCTGTTCTTCGAATGCTTGTGTTGTAAGTATTATTAGTCGTGTTGTGTTTATCATTACAAAGGTTTATATGACTGAGTACACTATTTATAGATAAATTTATATTTTTCACGGGCCTTATATTTGGAAAGAGTGTTTAGTATTTAATACAGTGAGGTAATTAACTTTTGAATTTGATAAGAAAGCATAACTCAAGCTATTGGTATTTAGGTAATTCTTTTGTTTATGTTTTACTCTATAATATTGATCTTATAGGTGGAAGATTTCTACAAGCAAAAGCATGGGGGCCGTAAACTTCAGTGGCACCACCATATGGCAAACGGGACGGTTACTTTCTCGAATCGGGTTGGTAAATTCGATCTTGAGATCACAACGCTACAAATGGCCGTGCTCTTCGCATGGAATCAGCGGCCACTTGTAAGTTCTGCACACATATACACATACACACATATATATATAAATGACTTATCATTGCACTTAAATGATGAAACACTAATTGTTCGGCATTTCGTTGATTGACTTTAGGACAAAATCTCGTTTGAAGGCCTGCGGCTGGCGACAGAATTGCCAGATTCTGAGCTTCGCCGCACTCTGCATTGTCTAGTGTGTTTTCCCAAACTAAAAAAACAACTGCTTTGCTGTGATCTACCTGATCTTAAGACACCTAAGGATTTCAACGATTCAACGAACTTCTGGGTTAACCAAGAGTTCTGCCTAATGTTAGTACCGCTGGAACCAATGTTGCTGTGAAATAATGAAAATTCGGATGAAAAACATATTACAAAACGAAATGGATATGAAAAACGTTACTTTTTTCCATTTTTTGCATTGCCCTTGAAATTAAGAATTTTATCAAATATATTGTTTTATATAGAATGCGGTAATTGATTTCGGTGGTTATAATAATCTCTAACATGAACCACCTAGAATGATACTCAAAAGCAGCAGTTCATTAAAGACTGCAAAATGAGAAAACTAAGAGACAGTTACTGATAACAAGTCAGTGGTACTTACACTTGAGTTTTATGTGTGGTATGTGCGCATAACTTGTTTATCTAACCACGATTACAGAAAAAATGGCAAAGTACAGAAACGTGGTCGGGTGAACTTAATTGGTCGTCTACAGCTGGCCAGTGAAAAGGCTGCTGAGGAAAACCATCAAGAGATTGCCGTACTTAGAGAGCTACGTACCGAGGTGTGTGTATTGGCAAGTTCTCCTTTCTATGTTAATATACGTTAGTGAGCTTAGTTTATAAAAGACGCCTGAAACCTTTGTCGAATCTCAGGCTTAACTGGATGCGTTTGAGAAAAGTCAACAGGATCCCATTTTTGAGAGGAAATGGGGATGTGATATAATTTAGGACTAACACAAAGCTTGACGATACTAAAGCTGGAATACAACTGCATGCAGCCGGCTACTTTTTATACCATTTTCAAGGAGCCATAGCAGTATATTACCTCAGTATTTGTTTACTATTCCATTTTACTTATTGGTTCTTTCAACCTACTTCTACAGGAGGGCATTATGAAGATAATGAAGATGCGAAAACGCATCTCATATGCGCAACTTCAAACGGAGTTAGTTGAAATTCTGAAGGGGCAATTCGCCCCGTCTCGCAAGTTGATCAAGGAATGTATCGAGAAGCTAATAAACAACAACCACGTGCAACGCAGCGATCTCGACCTTAATGAATATATTTATGTTGCCTAGAAAAACGTGGAAAGACGAAACGAAGAAGTTGTTGTCCGGACCACTGGCGGTAGTTTACGAATCATATAGAAATAAATATAACCCCACTGAGTTAGGCAAAGATTAGAAGAAGCATTGTAAAAAAAAAATACAGACAAGTGCTTAAAGAAACTTTATGACAAAAGTGCCACAGCAAAAATGAAGGTTACAAACACTCTGTTTTAATCTCAGTACCCCTGCTCGGGTGACTAGATGTGTGCGAATATGGTGAGCAGAATTCGGGCGAAACATCTTGCCTAGCATTGGAAGATAAGTGAACTTTTTTAAGTTATTTAATAACAGTTCTTATCCTAGCAGCTGATCAGTAACAATACAGCTAACCTAGTTATATCTGTGAGAAACAAAACAATACTTTAATTTTGAAGTTTATATATATATATATATATATATGAGTGCTGTCTCAGGGCTAACTTCAAGAAGATGACTTTGAAAAAAAACCTATATTGAGGAGTCATAGTTCATATAACAAATAAATAATAATATTAGTAACAGAAACGTAATATTAGACTCCAGTCTGTCGTTGTGATACCTAACTCAACTAGAAAGCAGTCATTTATAATAGTCGACGATTAACACATTCTCTAGCTACGCAAAAAACTATTTGGAGTTATCTGCCTGTTTTATTTGTTGCTTTTTATAAGTGGAAGTTTCTTATGTCTATACATCTATCGACATGTGCTCTGTCATTAGCCAAAAAAAAAAAAGGAACAAGATGAGAAGCTAATTGCCGGGTTAAAAGATCAATCTATTTTCTAAGGAAACAGAAATGTTGAATCAGATACTTGTGTTCTTTGTTTTATTTGTTAATAAATAAGCAGATGGCATTTTTCGTAGTGATCTAATTCTATATGTTATGAACTACACAATTGAGACGAACGATGCTAAATGAAATGACAATAATAAGTGAGCGCAATAGTGAACTTACAGCTTACGGAAAACGGCACGACAAAACGGTTGCCAACATACGCCCTCAAAAGTTCGTAACTTATAACTTTCCTAGTTCTAGAAAAAAAAGTTCGTTTGTACAGCAAAGCGGGTATATGTAAACTATTTCCTCATTATGTTTATTGCAAAATCGTGCCAATCAAACAGTACCCTTATAGTTTGATTGCTAAGCAAATCAAGGAAACGAAGGAAAGTAACCTGGGGAACAGGTCGCAGAAACTGCAGTTTGAAAAAGAATAAATATATTAGTGAAGTGTGAGAAAAAAAGGTACGAATCATGTCGGTGACCAACGAAAGGACAAAAATCGTGTCGTTAGTAAAATGCTTGATGATGTGGTAACTATGATGAACAATTGACTATGACATTAATCAATGCATTATACTGTATCTTAGCCAGACGCCTTATCTGTTCTGTTTCATATCTCCTTGTGGGTCTGCTGTATATATACGTCTGTCAGTTTAAGACTAAATGTGCATAAAAAACGTTTAGCTTAACACAATAAAGTTTTTGACAGATATCGTCGCGGCGGAAGAGCTTTGAAAAAACTTGGTTTCTTTATGTGCTCAAATACCGAGAGTGAATAACTATAACGTGTGCACGTTATTATTATGGCAGCGTTCAAAGAAAGAAGAGCGTAGAAAGCTCATCAGTTAAAGGCGTCAGCTAATTAGCTAGGTAGAACTGTCAGCCTTCTCAAAGGTTGCGTCTTGTATCGCACAAGGAAAACGCAGCTGCTTGCCGCGAACAGGTTACAAACACTGACTTTCTATAGTCAAGAAATATGTTCGGATTTTTTTAATGAAGATTTTCTGTTTCACTGGATTTCTTACTAAAAATCCAAACCAGGAGTTATTTTTATCAATCCTTGCAGCAAAAAGGCAGCTGAATAATCCTTATTTTATGAATCATCCATGCCCTTGTTGTTCGAATAACACTTTACAAATGTGAAATTTATACGGTTTTATTCTCCAATATACCAATCTTATTTTTTAGCGATAACCGCGCATCTGCCTGGCGAATATTAAATCCGGTCGGCATATTGTGAACCAGGGCTCATCTAGAACTTTGATTCAAGCAACTTCACCGTAATCCTGTCAAGCTCAAAACAAGATGACATGCCAGTGAGTACAACCTCTATCGATATGAAATCGTAAATCATTTCCGAAACAAAACAGGTACTAGGGCTGAAAAAAGAGTACCGTACATACATGCTATATGTTCATCATTTACTGATCATAACATTGAGTAGTAATTATACGACTGTGACCAGACTTAGAACAGACAGAACAATATGGGCAACAATCCATGTAAGGGCGAATCAAAAAAGTCAATGCGCACTATACATTACAAAGAGACCTTTCGAACTAGAACTTGCTTTTTCTAATCGATGTTTTAATCTAAATGTTGAGTCATAGAGGCTCATAGAATTTGAAGAAAACATTGTACAGTTCTGAAAATAATTTGTCGAGGCTCTTGGTTAGGTGGCCGCGATATTGTAATCGCGCAGTAAATTTTCGAGTAAATGATTTGTTGCTAGAAAGTTCTGTGCTAAACTATGAATTAGAAAAAATGGAACGCAATCGGGTACACCAATGCATTCAACGCGGACGTGTGCAGATTTAAAGGAAAACGAAAGGAAGAGCCTTCGATGGCCCATGTCCATTGAAATATTTTTATTGCCAACGATTTGTTCGCTCGTCGAATACATAGATTTACATACAAGTGAGATATTAGAAAACAAGACGAATGCATATTACTATTATTATGAACAATGAGCTCTGAGAACAGCGTGCCGCAGGTGAAAGACATACAATCTCAAGCCCCACTACGCACGACAAATACGAAAATGTGTAAAAAATGCGGTATCAAACGAGGGCAACAGAGCTGTTTCCATTACAATAGCTACAAAACTAAAGACCTAAATGAATGGAAGATGATTGATAGATAGGATTGCATAGGAATAAGGAGAAGCTGGACGAGATCGACTTACCATTCGCTTACTATTTTCTGCTCCAGTTTAATCGACAGCTGCAGTGGCGGCGTGAGTAACGCGTTTTCCTATCAATTCTGACGCAGTAAACGTGAATATCATACTCCGTACCACTCAGTCCATAAATGTTCATTGGAGCCAATGCAAACGAGAATCTTGTTAAATAGAAGAGACGCAAAGACATGTAAATTTACAAACATCATACATATATATAGTATCAATAATTGCGTACATACAAATACACACCTATGATAATTATATTATATATATATAGCAGTTGACGATGCAATCCCACCATCCGTGTACCATATTTTGTAAAATACCTTGTGAACTGATTGATTCAAAAATGAAACATCGCAAGTGTCGTTTCTGCTACTGGTGATGACGATGAAATATATTTATGTTTGTAATAATAGTAATAATAACAGTGGAAGTCCGATATAGTAATAATAAAGCTAAAAAACGAACGAAGGTAGAAATTCAACTTTTGCCTTTTCACTATATATTTCCGCTTGTCTCTTACTAATTGAAATATGATGTCAAATTTCGGGTCACTATCATCTAAGCAGTTTCTTTATTTAAAAAAAATGGTTAGCGATAGGCATATATATCTATCCTCACTAAAAAAATATGTTTCTTTAGCGGGTACTTTCTTAATGTTACATCCTTTATGTTTACATATGGGAAGGTTCATGCTGTTCAACATATTTCAGTAAACCCAAGCTTTTTATAAAATGTCGTAGGTAACTGCCTGTATTTAAAAAACACTTCACTTCAGTGTTTTTTAAATACAGGCAGCGGTAGGGATGGGAGCGGAACAAATATTTTTGCCATTTCACAAGCATCCATCAGTCTTTTAGCTGAAAAATGCAAGCATATAGACACAATGATTTGTACCATAGATCTTCTAGTTCAAATATACAACAACAAAATAAAACCTGATTCAGGGAATCATATGATACTTGTTGATTTATGATGAAGTTGATTAGTTGTTTATTTATAACATATATATGAACATTTATTTATATCATAAAACTATATTATAAAGTGTACATTAAGTTTTGTATGACTTTCTTAGATGTTACGCCCCACGTTTTGTTATTCTATTTTTTTCGTATTATTTCTAGTCCCTATATTAAAAGGATTACTTATTACGGCTCTCTATATATCGTTTCAAATAATTACGGTCATTCTATTTGCATGCGGAGTTAGTGTTTGAAAATATGGCCGTGGCTCAGTTAGGGATCGAACTGATTATTAAAGTAAGCAAACAGATGAATTATAATTTGATTAAATAGCTAACTAAACTGAAGGGACACTTAATGCCGATACCACAGTAATGACATGAGCCCTTTAACAAAAAAAAATGTTGTATCAAGACTATTTAATCAAATTATGATCGACAGTTTATTTACATCGCGAGGATGAATGCAAAATCATTTATAGATTTAGAATGTCGGCACTAAATATGTATAACACATTTTCAGCAATTACGTCTTATCTATTGTCCACGAGATATACCAAGAAAATCATGCATATGATTTGGTCGACGTCAACTCAAAGATAGAGTTCTTTCCTTTTTGTTCGAACAATTTCTTTAACGAACCAAGTTCTCCATCTCAGTCATTACTTCCGTTATAGTTTTACTAAAATTGAATGCAGGTAACGCGATCGCGGGCAAGTTCAACTTTTAAACTTTTGTTCATACGATTCAAAGGTCGAAAAGCACCCTTCGCGTATACTGACTACCTTTTTAACACAAAGGTGTACGAAATAAAAAAGAATGGTAATCACTATAAGTTTTTCCTTATAATCCTATTTCTTCGAATAATTAGAATTAGATTTTTCTCCTGATTATTTTTTCTTATTTCTAACAAACGTATTTAGTATGTCCGTATTTTCCAAAGTTTCATTCTGCAGCGCGGTCATTTTGCGCGCATATACACAGTGTAATATCTCAAGTGAAACTTTTAACGTCATTTTGCGGGGATCTCCGCCACTCTTAAGGAAGTTTAGGTAGAGACATTCGTTGCGTCTTTGATGTTCCTGCAATTGAGTGCGAAAAACTCAGTAATGCATATATATATATATATATAAATAGATATATATATCTATTTTTGCAGCAGTATACAGCAACCTAGCTTCATTAGACGGTGCAAAGACGTGTTAATCACAGTATTTAGCAAAGCTTAGATATTAACATAAATGAATATATTACACATACGTACAGATTACTCAATAAGTGTTCATCTTCGACAAATACTTTGTTGTTGCGAATGAAAAAATTTGATGACAAACACAAATGGTTGAAACTGTTTCGTAGTCTAGTCCCGACGACAGCAAAAATGATCTATTAACACGCAGTGATACCTTAAGTGGATCGTCGTCGGGCTCCCACCCATCAAGGACTTTTCCGCACGCAAAGCATTGTACTTCATCTTCACCTTCCGAACCAGTGAAATAGAACCCATTGTCTGCCAAAACACGCGGGCTTAAATTTTCCGTCGAATGTGGCCAATCCTCCTAAAAAAGATCGGAGAAAATACCAGCCACTGATCAGACGTACATGTTCGGTGGAATTACACTTTTAATTATATATGAACGCTTTAGGAAACCGGAAGATAATGTATAACCAAGCAACCTACCGGGAACGTGGCTAAACGGCGATCTGGGTCAAACAGCGCACTGCAAGCGCCTGGTACTGCCATCGTCTGAAAGATCAACGACATATCGAATGAAGTCTAGCGAGCGGAACTATAGAACTTGATAATCGAATTTTATCAGAAGATTAAGGATACCCCCCATCCCCACAGACGAACATATTGCTCACAGAGTGGAAATTCGCGTCGCTGTAGTCTCTCGATGCTCAAAATGTACAAACAGCGTTAGCCTGATACACTGGCAACAATGTAGGATAACCCACAGAACTTCTATATATCACTGACATCAATGAGTGAATGATTGGAATGTGTACTTTATGTTCGGCGGCTCCTGCCCGAGAAGTGCACAGCCGTCACCAGAGCCCGTTGCGGCGCGCCGTTGGATTTGCTTTGTTTTCAAATGAGAGCAGACGACGACTAGCCTCCAAATGTCGCTCCTTCTCACGCAAGACTCTTGTCATCCAATTGTTATATGGCGGGAAAGTTTTTTCTTCCGAAGTTGTGATCCAGCTATTGCAGTTACGAAGTCAATCTCTTTACAGTTACAAGACAGGGGAAAAATGTTATGTATTGACTCAGAAAGCGTGCTTGTACTTCGATGCTGGGTCTAATTTTTATAAAATAAGACATCAGAATTTGACACATCTGTCGGATACGAACCTCTCATGCTCCATCTGCTATTTATTTTATTTGAGACCATGGTCATCGTTTGGTATAAATATCAAGTAAATTTGTGGTGATTTTTAGTCAGCAGTTACTGGAACGAACCCTTGCATTTTACCTCGATTAAGACTACTGAATAAGTTACACATGTTAAATAATCCCAAGCTTTATTTATAAACTCCAGTTCTGTTTTAACTACGCTAGTAGGAAGCGTGACATTTAGGCGATGTCAATTGGGGCGGCAGCTGAACATTCGGTCGCCTGGAAGAAGGACCTATTACAGCGCGCTGTGAGTGAGGGCGCTACAAGTTGCGCTGTGAAACATGTCGTAACAATGTTAACGCAAACCATTCCACTAAGTATACTGCTACGTACTGCTAAGTACTTATAATTAGATCAGGAAGAATTCAGTTGCATTATAGAATTTATACGTATTAAGTGTCAATAAAACTGATATTATTCTTAATACCAGCTAATAGCTTTTTACGATTTTAAACTAGAATATTGATAATACTGCTTGGAGTTATTAAAATTTTAGAGATATCAGAGTGCTGCTCAATTATGTGCGTCCTTTATATGAATCGAAATCAACGCTGCACAGTAAAAAAAACTAAATAGAGCGTTGATATATATAAGCTTATTTTATCTTTATTTATTTATGGCAAAAAAACAAGCGATACGTGCCATACACGTTAGTCTTGTTTAACGATTACATCATTACTCTTAACGGAGACTTTTGCGTAAGTATATTCAAGTTTTTTTCTAATGAAAGTAAAATTGTTGCCTTATTTTATTTGTAAAATGATGTAATAATAACAACATTCGAATATCATTATGATTCATAAAGCTGTCGCATAAGGTGTTAACTTTCGCACATTTACACCTAGTGTAATCGTCGTTACCTTGTTATAATTTTAACGCGGTATTATAAAGGGATGAGCTGGGGAGATTAGACTGAACATTTTTGTTAATCTGGTCGAACTGCAAGTTCAGACATGCTTGGTCTATTGTATGGCTTTGGATCATTATCTTGGTGACCATTTTATGTAGACTTGCTCAAATGAGTTGCAAACAGACAGGAACTCGCGTGCCTAATAATAAATCAAGTTAATATTTCATTTACTTATAAGTTAATGGCAAGATTACTGTTCCTTGGGTTCAGAAGATTTAATTTTTTATCGAGAAACGGCGACATTCTCTACTCGATTCTCAAGCAAATTATCGATCAGGGATACCTGATGAAGGGGAGGCTGCTCAGTAAAACGGTGTCTGCGCTCGAAAACGACGCGTTTTGGATAATGATTCTATATTGCGCTCGGGAATACTGTTGGATGTTCATCACCGCAAATAACACCAAAATTTGTAATACTTGAGAACACTTATTTCAACGACCTAATTTTTATTTTGTTATAAATGTTGCTATTTAAACTTGTCATCATCAATATTTCACATAGTAAGAAAAACATTGTCGTTAAAATTAATTTAGTAGAGATAACTATATGAAATCTGGTAGCGCAGTAGCTAAACTCCATGCGCTTCATTTACATATGTCATGTTGCCTACCTCGGTCTTCAATGCCATGAGTATAACCATGTTATTCTTTTAAACGCTAGCTCGAAATGGTATTTGTTATAGGAATTTATAGAAGACGACTGTAATATTGTGGTTAAGTTAATAATCTTTGCTAAGTATAGCAAAATTCACAATAGTGTTTAAAACGTCTTTGCATAGCAGAATTACCATTACATGTGGCTTTCCCACCATGCATTCCAGCGTACACCCGGCAGTCGTCATGTTTTCTACACACTAATATTTTTTAAGGCATTTATTCCTAAAAAATATCCAACGGTCCGATCAAACGCAAGAGCTGTTCTAATTTCCGTGCAGTTGTAATGTCTTTTTAATGCACATACAGTATATACTAATCTGGTTAAACGAAGAAAAACCATGCCGTTATTTACAACTATTACTTGTTTTATTTGAGTTCACATAAACTACTACTAAATAAATATAGTATATATTAAAGTTTGAAGGCTTTGGTTTGAGACATTTCAACAATAATGATCATTATCATCATCATCGTTGTCGTCGTCGTCGCCACGATTCTGCGTTAGTTGCGCGATACTTGGCTTCTTATATTGGACATCTTCACGATGAAGATTTTAAGTTAAAAGGAGCCGTACACATATTTTACTATGTATAATACAAACAATTCAGATAACTTGGAAATAACTTGCGTTTGCATCGAGACCATAGCAAAGTTAGCGTCGATTAAAAAGATATTAGGTACAAAAATTTCCGCTAATCTGATTATTGCGCGTCAAGAAAATGCTTGATACAATGAGTATAAACCACTATATGCTTTACGGCTCAAAACTGACTTTCGCGTTTGTTTGGAACATTCAGATTGGTGATTCCAGCGATTTTTCGGTTATTCCAGTGATTTTTTTTAGATAAAGACGACAGTAAAATAAATGACTGGCAATTATATAGTTCACATATAGGGCCAAGACAAGGGTGTTGATGTTTTAAGCTCCATGATAATTCTCCACCTAAAATCTGTTAGACCAATGACTTTACATTGAATCGTAAACAAATATTTGAATTTTTCGCCGTTTTAAAAAGTTGAACTTTACCCCATAGGTAAGTAATCTTAAGTATTCATTAGACTGCTCTATAATTTTAATGATCTTAGTTCTTTCACAGGGCGGTTGATGGCGTGATAGTGTATAAATTAATTTAAAAACTCTTCTATCGGCTGCCTAATCTACAAAACAAGCTAGCCTTACTACTTCGATAATTAAAAATTGTTATGAACAACCGACATGGACGCAGTAAATAAACTGTACTGGGACATCTTTTTTACAAAGGCTTCAAATCTATCAAAGGCAACTTTCATGCTATGTAAATATACCAATAGTTCAAGGTGCCCTCCAATATCAAAATCTACCCGATGCCAATAGAAGGATCTGACCGTAGATGCAGCAACAACTTAATCTACTGAATACTACACAATTATACGTGTCGTATGATAACTTATACTAGTAACAATGATTACAATTGAGCACCCTTTAAAATTCCATGATGCATTTGTTGTGAATACGATTACATCTGCTTTTTTTTGTGAAATTAATCTAACTAATTAATGGAACATCTGTGAGTTTGCGCTTGACGCGTAGCAAGTTTTTCAACTATTATTTGCGTGACGTTGATCATTAGCAGTATAACATTCAAGTCTTACGTATTTTATATTTTACTTTTAGCAAATACGTAACTTGAATAATATAAAGATAGTCAGCAGCAGATCCTATCTTAATTTAGCTACCGTACGGTAATAGCTATACTATAGGTAAAGTTGTAATTTACGATATGGATATAATGATAGTGTCATATGAAGAATTGTACAATCACAACAGGATACCAGAGAAGTGGTATCGTTAGGCATTTTCCATTGCTACGATAAGCATTTGTTACATAGTAATGGCCTTTATAGATTAGATAGATTGACGTTGATGGGTGTCATACTAGCCACATTAGCGGTGAGCCGTTGTGGCTGCAACCGTTCAGGAAATGATTGTGCCGTCGCAGATCACTCTATAAGTTTCGGTAAAAAATTTTCGCTGATATGTGCTTACAGGGTAAAATATGCCACACAGAAACGCCCATATTGGTATAAGATTCATTGAAACTATCTATAGTGAGTTGGTACTTTTTAAGTCCTGCATTTGATCGAGGTTTAGTTCGGTACTTGTTAAGGCACTTCAGCTAACATCACACATCTGGTCCAATTATGTGCAACAGTAGCGTTTCGTCGGTCGTATGAAATATGTGTTTTATGTCATACGGTTTACCTTATTGAACAAGACACGCAAAACTGCGCGTTGAGCAGACGTTGTATGAGAAACTAAGCATAGTGTAGCCGAAATCAGATAATTTAACTGCTTTAAAAATCATTAATAGGTCATAATTGATGTTGGTCTAGCACGGTTTACTAGGTCCCAGCCTCTAAACTGACTTACCAGGGCAACTCGCCATTTTGGGCTCGTACCCACTGATAATAAACAGGACGAGGAGACTGTCGGTGTTACACGGCAACGTCAACCGAAATGAAGACGAAGGATGCTGAGAAACCATTGCAATTAATGAACGATTTCTTACCCAAAACCCGTATTTCTACTGCTATTTTACAGTTTTCCTGTATTAGCCAATTTAGCTCAAAATGATGATTAATAGTTTGTATTAGTGCGCCAGATATCACCAAAATACTGAAGAGATTGACATTTGGTCGAGTTATTTTTGCTAGGGATCCAAAAATACTAATGTGGGGTAAGAATCTTTAGTAGATCATCTTTAACAGGATTATTCAAATCTGAGAATGTCAGAGTATTCTTGGACTGCGGTTATTAAAGAGCATAAGGTACTTTATCGATACTTGGAAAGTCTACACGAGACTTTGGTTGTACAAAAGGGGTGTACACATAAAAAAAACTCAGAAATATATTTTCCCGATGTTACGAGTTCTAACATAAAGCTCGCATATATACGTAATAGGATGTACACTGTCACACTGTTTTGTAAAACTGGCGATGTTTAAATTCAGTCGATGAATTTCAAATGCGACCCGGTCGGATTAGACATCAATGCAGCTTATGTCTATATTGCTGGTTCCATTAAAGCCTACCTCTTTATCAACTATTCCACTGAAATAAAGTCACTCATAAGAGAAGAGCCATACGCTACTCTATAGCTCAAATATTTCATCCAATGAATTCCACAGCACTCAAATATGTCCCCAAAGTAGCATTCATAGAGCTGTATTTTCTCAAAACAGTAGTAGTTATTCAATTTCGTCGGCTTTCTTTTTTTTTAAGAGGATTTTCACTGTCTCGAGGAATTCGTGATACGCGTACGTACATTGATTACTATTCAGCGGTCGTACTGAACGGCGATCAGTGAGTCATGAGAAATGCCTATTCTGCAGGACGTTTTAACTATATGTTTCCGTAATGTACCGTAAATGAACACGTGGATATGAAAACGCTCGGTTTTCAAAATTATGTTTATGACATGCCGTTGTTAAGGTGCGGCTCTGTACCATCCATATGTAACGATGGATTATAATTTATTTAATCGTCTACTTTGTTCCACTTTTTCATGCGTCTGGAAAACTTATATATGTTTAAACACTAGAATAAGGACTATCGGTTAACATAATCGTTTAGGGCAGCAATTAATTATCGTCAAGCAATCAATAGCACCAAGATCATGCAGAAGATGATGTAGTTATGCAGGCTGTGCTGGCAAAATATAAGCCAACATTGTCTCTTATTTTTATATGTAATTCCTCTCTTTTTTGTAGTCCATATTTTATATCACGATTGAACTTCATGCTGAAGATAATAAAAAAGGAATCGTGCTGAATTCCAATACACTTGAGTATGTTCGTGCATCCTCAGTTTCTATTTTTGGTATGTAAACTTTGCTATAATGTGAAACAAATGCGGAACGTGCTGTCGTTTGATATTTAAATAAAAGGCAAAAGTTTGTAGGATTCACTTTTGCGGTAAAATGGTACGGGCGATGGTAACTTGTGCACTACATTGTAATAATGTTAGACTAATACAGTTATCAAGCTTTTTAACAGCTTAGAGCATGCGATGTTATTTTTGTATAGTATACCACTAAATAAAAAAAAAACGGTCAAAACGGTTTAGAATTAACACCTTATTCATTTTTTTTTAAATTAGTAAGCTTGAGGTTGCAAGCAGTTATTGAGTTCCACTTGCATTTTCCTTCACTGTTAAGTCATTGTAAAGTATTATAGAAGCATATATTAGTAGCAATTCTTTGTCAGCCTTTTTAAAAATCGGTCTTATGGTTTATTAGTATTAAATCTCTAATCTGAAGTTACGTTATATATAAGGACGTTTCATAAAACAATCTAATATGATTTTCCGTAGCAATATACTTATAAAGTAATCAGCTAAGGCGATTTACTTTCTTTGCATTATATGTCAACGTTATAGTAGAGCATACTAAAAAAAAAGAAAAAAAAGAAGTCCGTGGAAGGCATTCTATCTTGTATCATTCTTTATCTGTCTGTGCTATGTACGTTTCAAACAACGTGAAAACGTCTTTGCTGACAGACAAGTTTTGCTATATTTTGAGAAAGATACACTAGCAATGCAACAAGAGCTCATATTAGAGACAAGAACACACACTAACGCATCAACCACACAGATTATTGCGCACAAATTGTTAAATCAGCCCATACTTAAAGTGACATAATTCTACTTCTAAAAGTGATCACATACATAACATGCCAAAATACAATGACAGCTAATCATGAACTCAAAGACACAAATGTATGCGAGAGGGCACATGTATTTCTATTTTTTTAATCAACCCAAATAAAATTGAGTGGCGTCAAGAGCGCCACAGTAGCTTCAAAAGGTGCGAAATGCTTAATGCCCCTGTTACCGCTATTGTAGCGCATATACTTGTTCGTCTAGATAGATCTGGTCTCAATCAACCGTAGACCTTTGAACCAGTCGAGGAAGCATACCACGGTTACCAGTTAGCAAACCTTCATTTGAATCGCAGATAAAGTGCTATGCATTAACCAGCATTTTTAAGACTGTAGCCAATTACTGCCTAATTGCAATTAAATGGTATGTGGAAGGTAGACTTTTCATAAAATTTCATACTGACAGGGACGACAGCAAAAATAATATTCCCTAGTTTGCTAAAAACATTTAATGATCCAGTACCTCGAACAAGGGCTTTTGCTAGCGAAGCGTACGACGTATTTGCCTGACACAAATGTAGTGTCCTATGGCCTAATCGTTTGTAAGATTTATGATGACTGGGTCTTTTTTAAGTCCGCTAAGATAATGGCTTACGTTCTGTAATAGACTCAGTCTGATACTATAATACAGTAATACAGATGCAGTAATACTGAAGGCTTTCCGAGTGCCTACTATAAGTGTATAACAAAAAGAAAAACGACGAAGCGGGCTGTTGAATAGTTACAATGTGGTTATATAAGGTCCTTGTAGTGAGGACATACCGTAACGCTGAAGATTGTTAACGAGAACCTTCATTGCCCATATATTTACCTACACAATCTTAGACAACAATTTTTTTATAAACTTTTTATAAATATCGACGACTTTGTTAACTCTTAAATAAGAATTGCTTATTTAAGTATTGTAATAAATCTTAAATGTTTCACATGTAATCATTTCATGTGGAATTGATTGAGTACGTGCACCCTATGGTGCGTCTTCTATTTATATCACAAATAAACAAAATAAAGTTAGTGTGTCTACACTTATTATCTAGAAAGACAAACAGACGGTAGCTTCAACTAGACAAAGATATATATATAGTATGGCGCCTAAATTGAGGATGTTTTTTATGCCTTGTTTTTAATACTGTATCTACATAAAAACAGACATTTCAACATAATGTTTTACATGTGGTAAAAGTGTCATTCCTGACGGTCATGTTTATTATGTAACTACCATTCACCGCGCTCACACCTTCAATTCGGGACCTAAATTACTCACTAGTCATTTTTAAGATACTATTTTTTAATCGGTAAACACTTTTTCAATTGCAACCATGCATCTAGCAGTTTGTCTTGGTGTAAACTCGTTAATGTGTCACTCAAATAGGCTTCATGCAAAAAAATAGAAAAAAAATGGGCCAGTGGCACACCAGAAGTCCCAAAAAAAAAAACTGGCAACCGACTAAATATTAATTGACTCATCCATGCATTTTTAAACAAATTCTTCTCAAAAAAATTAACCGCTGTTTGAAGCGGCTTATTTTTAGTTCAGACGATCAAACATAGTTTCATCCAATATAAAGGGCTATATTCCTAGTCACAAAATATTTTTGTTATTTGTTACAAATAACACTGCGGGTACTTATGTACAAATTATACATAGTTCAAGGACATATAAAACTTTTAATCAAGTAAATTTCTCTAAACTTCTCAAAATTACTTATGCTAATTGATTTCTCCCAACCGCTAATATACTAGCTATTCGAAACGCACTTATAGTTCAACTATGTAATGGCTGTAATAAATTGACTATTAAAGCATATTCTATATATACGCCGAAACAGTGAAGTATGAGATACACCTATTAATTTACGTAGATCAATTCAATGGCCTCACTAGTATTAGAATAAAGCCTATTCTGTGCCATCCTACGAGTCTCCATTCTCATTGGTCGTTTTCATAACTAGCTGTCCCCTCAAATATTTGTGAACTTCAGTGACAGTTTTTATGGCAGAAAGCTGTTCAGATGCTTTTTTGGGCGCATGTTGTTTCATTAGCCTTATTCTGGTCATTTTTCCGATACTCATCAAAGAAATATGTTCAACGTTCTCTTAGAGCCTGCGCTGCGGTTCGGTGCTGAACGGGAAGATAAAGCTTGAATTCTGCAGGAAGTTCGTCCTCGGCGTATAATCGATCGGCGAAGTACACTCTTCTCAAACGGCAGTTAGCGTGGATTTGAACCCGTAACGTTTGAACATAGTTTGTTCCATAGGCACGTCGTGTGAAGTCAGCTAGATTAAACTGTATTTGGTTCCAACCCTCGTCCAGGCGCATCGGCATCGTACAGATAAATGGCTTGACACGCGTGGTGCTCTGGAAGTTGGACGCTCGAAATCTGGACAACAGTAACGGATGCGGGAAACAAAATCCATATATGTGCTAAGAATAATGAAAACTATGTATGGGTACGCAAACTTTATGCCAGTGAAAATTCTTAACTAGTGTATACGAATAAAAACAATATCTTGCACTTCAAACAGAAGATTAATTAAGTGTAATTAGAAATCCTCAATAGTGAAATATCTCATATATCACAATGTAAAATTGAGTAAAGACATAAATAAGTTTGTTTACATTCTGATTATACACAAAAATATGAAAAAAAAAACGTTAATCAAATGAATTAATAGAGAAGGGGTTGTAACGTCTTCCGTTACAAACCTCATTTAAAATTAGGCATATGACAACAATACCAAACTTCTATTTCGACATGATCAAGGAGACAAAATACCAACCTTCGCTTGATATTTTTGTCATCTAGGATCTGAACCTCAAATGTGAAGTACTTCTTTAGGTTTTTAACGATGAGAATTATGTAAGGTAGTCTAATCCCTAGAGTTTCTCTGGGGTCGGCAGGACAGGTGATGAACGTCGTGGACACGTTGCTTCCAACAATCTCCAAGACCAACGATTGAATGTCATTATCTGTTATACGTTTTATGTGGCCATTTCGTACCTATGAAGTTAACAACAAAGATGAGTTCTGTTAGCTGGAATTTAAAAAAAACAAACCAGAAAGAAAAAAAGAATAATAGGCTGACAACAAATGGATGCGAATTGGAAGGCGTCCAGTCAGTTCCTTCAAGCTGCTTAAATTGTTCTTTATGTTAACCATAATAATTTTATATTTAGTTAATTACGAATGTGATTCGTCAATGCGGTATGACTTTGGAGCAGGCTGCTTATGATATTAAATATCCTACTGCAAGATTTACATGCCATTCGATAATCTGAGCGGTTCTTAAAGAAGGAAGGCTGGTCCATACTGGATTGTACGATTCGTTGAAGGGGCTCGATGAAGTCAAGCAAGCACACTAATTATTTCAATGAAACTTATTACTATCCTTTGAAAAGTTCTGTAATCTAATGTTCACTATTGTACAAAATGCGAATTTATATAAATAATGCATCGTATTGAAATGAATTGATTATCTTTAGTGATCGATTCATAATAAAGTCTTACAAGAATGAAAAAGTTACAAACTGGCAATAACCAATTTTCAATTATCTGAACAGTTAGCTTAAGATTGCTATAATTTTACAAGCTGGTTTTACTTCTCAAAAACACCTTTCGTTCGTCGATACTCTTCCATATCGTTGACTATATCGCCGGCTCCAGTAAAAAGCATTCTGTGATATTACCTTAATTAATTTAACGGATATCCATTGTTTAGCAAGTTGTTTTGTGTGTAACACTTGTAGCTTTTTCATAAGAACTTAATAGCAAATCATGTTTAAAACTGTCTGTAAGCACAGTAGCGGTTCTTATATTGGAGCGCTTTCTATGATTGCATGCACGTTGTCATGATAATTTGAACTACCATGATCCTTGTTTCTGCTTTCCTGCGATTAAGCAATATGCTACGTCGCTCACTCCCAACTTTGATTGATACCAATGGATTTTGTGAGTGGCAAATATTAGCACTGATTCTTTCTGTCGTACCTGTTTCGATAGTCTCCAAATAACTGTACTTACTCTAGTTGTATCATCATGAAGACGCATCAAACAAATCAATAATATCTTGTTTTTAATCCGAACACCGAAATTTTACAAGACCCATAAAGATAAAAGCCGCCCATTAAAGAGCTACTGAAGAGTCTGATGAAATTAAATTCTCTTAAAAAAAAAAAGACTATTTTACTGATAATAGCTCAAAAGGGACTTGGTCACTTCATTGTCATTTTTTTGAAAAACCGACACCATTTAACAAGGTTTGCTTCTCAGAGAAAAATAATGCTTTTTTATGTGTATAAAGTTTGTTATTGGGCATGAACGACGGTTAAGAAAAATTTTATGTCAGATCAAGAGCACCATTATAGATTCATTTTCACCGATGTGATGGTTAGAGGCTATGAAAAGAAACGGCCCATTGTATATTATAGAGATATATATTAATTATGTAACAGCATCTTGCACTTTGAGCCCAGGCATTTATCAAAGCTTCAATAAACAGTAACTTAGCTTACCTTCTTGTCCCAAATTTGTAAAGGTTTCGATCCAAGGCTGTACAAGATGGAGAGAAACCCACTTTGAAAGGTATTCTTGAACATGCCTCCGCGTGATTCCATAACTGCGAATTAAAATTCGTTGTATAGTTTTATACAGCAGTTATCAATTCCCTACCGTCAAACTGCCCTTTAACTTACACTTTCCTGCATATGTAGATAAAACAACTACTCTGTGCGAAACGAAGATTGTATGTTTCCATACGCTTGTACAGAGACAGTTGTAATAGTGCAAAAGTCTTCAACTTCGAGGCCGAAATACATCGAGCGTACTTCACTGCTAACCAAGTCAAAGTGCCGCAGTGTATCGCGCTGCTGCTCTTGCCCGATGTTTCAATGTTTTGATTGTCAGCGGCAGCGCCGTTGCTATAGAAACGCGCAAGACGAGGGAACGTCGCAACAGAGTGATCCCAATGACAATAAGCCTATGCACCGTTGGTGCTAGTGTTGACAGAGCGGTGAACAGAGAATATTTTGTGTGAGAAAGATTTGTTGTCGTGTATGCAGCTGGGATTGCTGGTCTGCAGTAGAATACTGGGTCGCCACAATGCTGTGATACGGGTTTGTTTATGCGCGGGCAGGGGAACGATTCCTATTGAAAGGAAATGTTGTTTCATTATTTTAAAATGGCTTCTTCCAGGACCACTAACCATAGTAACTAATGGCCCTCCAATTCGATTCAAATTTGACGTAACGAGGACCTCATATTCTTTAACGTAACTCACTCTTAGGAATTTTAGAAAAACCAGTAAAATATATTGAGCTGATTTTGTAATTTGCGCAAAGTGCTTATGTATTTTCACATAATTATCGACAGAATTTCATATATTAATTATTATTCTAAAGGAAATCTGCAAGTAATTCAGATTGATACTAGATAACAAGTTAACGTTAATCGACCAAGGATTCATGCATATCAGGTACATGGAGGGAGGCGATTCGTGATCTGACTAATCATCCTTTCGGTGCGCGAAAATCACTGCATATATATATATATATTTTTTTTTTTCGTGCTGTCTATTGTTTTCTTTTCATTTGCTTGCAAGAATATAACCTAGCAGTAGTGTACTAAACTGGGATGGAAGAATGTATCGTTGCCGAGGTTGTACGACTTTTGGACAACTCCATGGGAACTCTGAAGACGCAGTTCATTAGTATTTTCCATTGTATCGGAAATTTTGCTTGCTACATTTGAAGTCTATTTCTTTTGATAACTACCCAATCTACCCAACAATAAAACATGGTGTTTCTAGTTTATCACGCATTGATTTATTACTCATCATGCCTACTGTTACCTACTATAATAAATGGTGAATATCAATCGTATCAAAAAAAAAAAATTATGGCTCATTTTGCATGCGGGGAACACCTTAAATGATCTGCAATAGCGTTTGTAGAGCCCATTTACTTCGAACATGCCTAGTATACAGGATGCATTTTTATAAAACACATTAAGAACCCGTGAGTGACAACTCACATTTTCAAAGCTATAACAGAATTGTATATCGTTATTCCTTTCACCCAACGTTAAGTCCTTGTATCTATGGCAGAATTTGATTTCCAAATGTAAGGCTTAATACTCTGCCGCCTAGGCAGCAGGTTATCAAACTAACTACAACAAGATGAGCACAGCAATAAAGTGAAAGCCTGCAAGCATAAGGCACATACGAAACTGTTTCATAACTCATAGATCAAAGACTGGTATCTGCTTTTATTGCGCAGTTTTAACTAGTGGATACTTCTTTTTGGCATCAATGTTTTAGATAAATCAGAGGAAGTGACCTTGAAACGGCTTAGAGTTTTGGATACACCTGCCCTTTCAGCAGATCATTTTTATATAATTTCAACTTTTCGAAAATGTTCATTTTACTAAGGCTAATAACTATATTAAGCAAGCTCATAAAAATCGATGCTTAGATGATCATGGCTGTTAATGATAACTGAAAATTTTTCTTTTTTCATGTACCCCATATCATTGACCTATTATTTGCTGTCTGCTTGGTACAAATAAGCATATTCGTCATAGAAGAGCTAAAGTGTTCAACATAATCACTCCATTCTGTTAGTATAGAGTGTCCTTCCATAATTAAACAGGCATACTTGATGCCTTTTGGCAAGTTACGCTCAAATGATTTCGAACTGCGTTCGTTAGTTGCGGTTTACTCGTCGGTAAATACGAGGCAAAGTGAGATCGGAAACGACACACGGTTAACTTCTATACAGAAGCATATAATAAGAAACGGTCATATACATTGTCAATTTATAAATTAGAATTGTAAAGTAAATTCATTAAAACACGTTATATTAAACGGTTAGAATAGCAATAATAATACTAATAAGATAATACACATTATTCTAAATAGAAATATTTAGCTTCTAATGTGCTAAACGAAGTGTAATTGGGCGAGCAGTTAGTCCTTGTAAAATAAACAATAGTCCAGGCTCGACCAGCGATGCTATATGACTGTCGTATTGCATTTTTGGTGATGTGAAGAAGTGCTTGCTTGCATCCTTCGGCTACCCATTCAAATTCATCTTTGTATCCCAAAAAGGCAAGTTTCTTATGTATGTATGGCCTTATCTGATTTGTCCTATTAGCGATCCTGTATTCACGATATGATATACCGGCTAACTGGTTTTTACGCCATGGACTCTTTTCAAGAAGTGATGCGGTCCACATTTTCAATTGGCCCACTCTTAATTTGCCGGGTATCTGAATGTATGTATGATATACACATACTGACCATCTTAAGTACTATATATTTTGATTATCGTAAATGAACACACTGATTCCCTCTGATTAGGAGGATTTTATTTTAATGATTGATGTCAGATAGATCTCTGTTACACACTTCGTTCGGTATCGTTGCTTTTTATATTTACGGGATGCAGTTATTCTGCTGAGACTTGTCCAAAAGAAACTCTTCGAGAATGCTCACTGTCATGTTCGTTCTCTGTAGTAGAATTCTCTGATAATCACTGGAAGTCCAATATCCTTTTCGTATACGGTGGCTTGTACAACACGTTTTCCTCTTATTTCGATTTTAGCAATATATTGTTGCTCTTAATTAGCTACACAAGATCCTTAAATCTGTCTTGTCTTCAATTGTAATCATGTTAGTTTAAAATTTTGTGTGTTAACCAGTGTCCTTCTTTCATATGAACCATTCGAATACACACATTCACACGTTTTCTTTTTTTGTATTTCAGTAATTATTCAATCTGTTATTCTTTCTCTCTCACATTTCAAACATTCCCAAAAACGCGCCTCATCGTGTAGAGAACAGCATATTACCTGATCCATTCGCTATATAATAGAAGCAAGAGTTAGGCGGCTGAACTATATAAATGACAAGAGGTTCTCAAAGAAAAAAAAGCTCATTATAAATAGCATAACACGGATGGTATTTGAGAAGGGACTACGCGTAGAGCACAGCTACTTAATTCCAATGTGCTGATGAAGAAATGAAATATAAAATAGTACTAATTGTTGTTTGGTAGACGCAAGAATAATTTATGGATAACATCATAATGGCGATGATAATAATAATAGTAACTATTTTACGGTTCGGTAAAATGGCAAAGTATGTACAAATAAGAAATATATCATAATAAATTATTACATTTCCATAAACAAGCTCAATTGTTCATCTAATTGTTAGGTCCCCACAAACCTTTCATCTTTTCAATGTTTCTAGATTAAGTATTTATAGTTGTGGCGACTTCTTGTTTGTGTATCTCTTTTATTGCTATATTATCATTATGTATGAATTATACCATAATGTTGGAACCCAGCTGCATATTTTGGAAGTTAGAGGCGGGCGAATTCGAAAAATCGACTATAAGCTAAGAGAACACGGAGTACAGAAGGACGATGCAACTCTTTTGTCATGCATCAACTCACGTATTGAATTCGATAATGGCCTGAATGTGTTATTGGTAACAGCGGGAGTTAAATAACTTTCGCTGCGGTAAGGATTAGGGTCTTCAAGATGTTCATTATGTGTGCCAACTACATTATTGCTAAAACTATCACTCGTACGATTCATGTTCGGGTGCCGTTATAGATGAGCCTCAGGATCGATACATCGCAACTGACAACTGTGTATTTTTTCACTTATTTTGATGACAACGTGTGTAGCTGTGTTCAGTCGACAAAATACAGTACGGAGTGCCAATGAAAAATATTGATCAGGTTTTGCCTATACTAAAACTAAGAGGCTCACCTCGAAGTATTCCCTGACATCTGTCTCCAACAAAGTCTCACCAGCTGCCAATTCGAAAAGCGTATTTATGGTAAAGAGCGTAATCCTGAACTTAACTCTTTGAGTGGCCCTTCCTCTCGATCTATATTCATAAGTCAGAAACTAACGAAACCAGTCTTCGTTGCAATAGTAACGTGTTGGTCCATTAGAATTACAAACACGTAAGGTGGTCTGGATTTAAAATTGAACGTAAATATAGTTCGTGCTGGGAAGGGCCAGTTGTCTAAAACAATGCTTAACGGCAGCACCGGGTTTAAAGTTCGCACTATTTATTATAGGCAGGTAAAGAAACGTTCTGCTTGATATTTAGTAGCGCACGACAGAAGGAAGTAAAAGGTAGGCCTTTATGAGAAGTTAGTAAGGAAGAAAGCCATCTCTTGGAACGGCCAGCTTCCAATACTTTCAGAAAATTCCGGCTGATCAGCAACAAATTTATCAAAAAAATCATAAACAAATGTAAGGGCGCGTATTGATAGTATGCAAAGTAGTAGAATGTAATGCTGTGTTCGTTTTGCGCCAAATAGAGCTGTCCTTAATAAATTCAAATTCAAACAATGTTATAACAGCTAATCACCCGGGGATAAGGTCAAATCTACATATTTACTAGTCGATTTCTGCGCTGCGAAATGGTGCTCGAAAGTGTCACATTTTTGTAGAACCGCATTCGTAGCTATATTAGTTTACGTACAAACAAATTCGTTTTTGCCGACCAAAAATATATTCTGTATCCACATCCTTTGACGAAACTAGATCCATTAATGTAATGAGGAGTTCCAAGGTGCTCAACAACATAATTTTTTATCGCAGTTTGACACCTATCGACCAGATACTTTAATGCATATTATATATAATTGCTTAATATACGCGTACAAGTTCCTGAATGGAATAGACATTGGCAACAAGGTGGGACCCATTTCAGTATACACACATGTGTGTACTTGCATCTGGGCATGTATGGCAAACGCGTGTTGCCGACTGAACAATTATTGCTTCAGTAAAAGTTCATCCCATCACGGACAATAGCTTTTTTTGCCCAACGTTTGCGGATGCAGCGGCTTCCGTCCCATGACAGACGAGCACAACGTCGAACTCTTCTGAAGACAAAGCACTGCTTGGATAGTAGATCGAAGAATAATCGGCCCACGAAACGGCTTTGCGAAGTGCGGGTCATCTTCAGACATGAGCGAAACCTGAAAATGGTTAAAAAAATAGCTAAAGTTTTATTTAGAGCCCACAAATGTTGACATATATATATATATATATATATATATATATATATATATATATATATAATAAATTAACTGACATAAAATTGCTTCTATTTTTTTTATTACAGTTTTGTAACGACGCTGTACTCCCAGTGTCTAGCGACAAAGACAACACAAAGCTTTTTTTTATTGTGACACAGATTTTTTTATTTATTATGACACACACCAATATTGAAATGGCAATAATATGTTAAGCAGAAACTTTCCTTCACACAATTGTTGTTCAGGTCGAAAGCAGTAGTTTCTCTATTTCTGTTAATGGAAGGTTTAATGGTGGTGTCGGACGTAAACTAAATGTGACATTTAGTTTTAAATGATTGCGCCAAGGTCAAGTAATGCAATAATCACCGGTATTTCTGTTAGCATTTTCTAAATAGCGTTATATTTTTATTCAATAAATCATTTTTCTTTCATTGTGCTTTTCCACGTTAACCTTCGACAAAAATTTGGAATCGTTTAGCGGACGGCAAAGCGCAATGCAAGTGCTACCCCAAAAGCCTCTCAAGGTGCCATTATGCGGTGGAAGCAGAAGATTCCGTAGAACCGATGAAGCTTCTAGTCAATGCATTCCGCCCTCGACATGATACCGAGACAACCAATCTGCAAGATGTGATTGCCTTCTATCGTCAACACTGTCTTCTTTTCCACCAAAACGTCCTCCGTTCTTCGGTTTTCGACAATCGAAAATCCCCTTCTCCAAAAAAGATCGTAGTGTTCTCTCACTGTTCTATGCAGGGCCTTTTCCAATTATCCAGCATTCGTGCTCTACAGTACACGATTTCCGTATCAGTTACAGGTATAACCAAGTTGGTAGATGCTGCTTCAACTTGATCCAAGAAAGGTATCCTGTTCACGATGGATGACGGTTGCACAGAAGTATTCCATCGAAATCTTCGGCAGAACGTGCGCACTTTATTAAAGGTGACTATGCCCGTTGATGTTCTCCTCGGATGATACATTTCATTTATCAGCATCTCAAGATGATGTCTCCAAAATAAACATATCCCAGGATCGAATTCGGAGTTTCCGTTTCTTAGTTAAATCGTATCATCAAAGTTTACTGCATCTCGGTTAAAGCCAAATGGGCCGGAAAGAAAGGATCACGACGATAGCTCTGGACAACAGGATAGATTATTTTTTGCAAGGTCTCAGTTCCTTTACTCTGACACTCGGCTAATGAGAGCTCCGCTACATGTTTTTGATTTCTCGGCCATATCCTAACGAACCTGCTCTGGTATGACTTATTGTGAGTAAACTTCGTCGTAAAGGAAGCAGGTTCTAAAATCAACGTTTAACATGTCAGAAAGCTTGATCTCTAGAAAACTTCAGAAGAGCTTATACTTTCTGCATGAGTACCATTTTTGCTATCCTATACTGTCCGTTTTTCGAATCGACCGGTAGACAATTTTTTTTATTTTTTCCCTTTAACATGATTCTTCAAAGCGTAGTATTCACCCATACCCTTATTTTCAACCACGTTTGCTGTCTTTGTTGACAATATGCACCCCGTTTACTTGCGCCAGCACACTGAAGCAGCAGTAGTAAAACACCAGCAGTTTTCTCCTACTGACATCCGTCCTCGAATCTTCTTGGAGCAATATCTGTTTCGTTGGAGCAAACGGTGTCTTCCCTTCTAGCGTCTTTTGCCCCACCCGTGCTTTTGGTTTTGGTGTTGTTTATTGTTCTCCCCACACAATGTAGTATTGCTTGACCTGTTCGACTGCTGTGGCGACACTCACAGTCGACTTCTCTATTCCCCTTTACACCCCCAACTCAAACCTGTGCTGAGACCAGCGAAGATAGTCGTATCCCTGTAGTGACTTTGCAGGCCAGTCGAGATGTACTGGATATACTGGCCTATCCCGCAGCAAGCAAGCCGATAAGTCTGAGCATAACATAAATATGGAGTCAGGCTCTGCAAACTACAACTAAATGTCAACTCCACGCGAAGGAGGTTTACCATCCAGTGGTAGCTGCTGTTTTTCTATTGAAGAAAAAATTCTCTAGTTTGGCTCCCGCTTATCCAAGCTTCTTAGTTCTATAGACTCAAACAAATATAGCGAAGTAGAAAAGCAGCATAAGCGGAACGCCAGGAAGAGAATAGTTATTTTTCAGCAACGAGCCGGTTCTAGGATTCTATCTATCGACTCAGCTTCCTCTAGTTAGAGTCTTCGACCGGATCGAATCGGAACGAATCAACGCCAAGCATCGGTTTCTTGCCTACCTAAAGAGTAATAAGCTAGTCCTCCCCTTTATTATCGTTGGCCGCTTAGCTATAACTTATAGCGATTATCATTATTACTATTACAATCAAAGTTATTACCATTAGCTCGACTATTCGTGGGATATTAACACTATAGTGATAATGATAATAATAATGGATATTTTGCTTCGATCGACCGAGGCCAAGAAAGAGTGTGAGAAAGCGCAGTATACGATAACAGCTGCTTGGCGTTTATTATAGATGATGTCATCTACAGACTTGCGCTGTTTGGACGGGGCATGGCCGACGTGTCGCGTGATGCCGGCCTCCACTACCTTCAAGCTAGAGGAGCATAGAGACGCAGAAACAAATAGAGAAAAGAGCAGCACGAGCTTTGTAGGCAAGATTAAACTACCGTGCGTTTGTAGTCTGACGCGGGAGAGTCATAAAAATCCCGCTGCGAAAGGAACTAACATTAGGAATTCTTCGTAACTGGCATCTAGCAGTCTTCAGGCAACATTTTAGAGCCTAACGCCTACCTGTATACGCGATTCAGTTATTTCAGAGTTGAATAAGTACGCAGTAAACTACTCTCCCAAAAAGGCTGAATGAAACTCTGTTGAGTTACTAACAAGCTTGGGCGTCATGTTTTGTACAAGGAAGATAGACTCTTCACTAAAGCAGGTTTCTAAGAAGCAATGTTGACTTCTTCAATCAGTTTTGGATTATTTTTGGACATAATATAGTCTCACTATGCGGTAAACTTGCGTAATTCTCGGCCATTCTTGACTCCAAGCTCGATAGTTTGTTCAGGCTACGATTAGACCATGTCCACATCTATCTGAGAACGATGACCCTAGCTGGACATAAAACTGTTAGCAAGATGGCATAGGAGCCTGCTTTTCTGCTTTCCCCGTTTTCTTACCACAGTGAGGTTTGGGACGAGTAAACATGAGGAACTGTTAAGGACTTTAAGGGCATGTTCGTCTTTGTTATACACGAGAATATTAGGGCCGTATAACGTCGTACATGACATTAACCCGCAAAAGTAGTCTTAACTGAATGGTCTGTCTTTGCCGTGTTGCAGCTAATGGCCGAAGCAAGTGCAGCAGGCCTATATGCAGATGTAATGACAATCGCTAACTATAGTTAACATTGCATGACGGTTGTCGTGACTGGCTAACTGTGGGGGAAAGAGGGATCACGGTCGGGGTTACGTTTGAGCCCTGATACAGTCAAAAGCTGAGATCCACGTGGAGTTAGCATAAATCACGCGACCTGCATAAAGATCTTTGTCAAGGTGGGCGAGACAAACTTGGTTAATGCATCACGGATACAAGATAGGCATCCAGCAAGAAGCAGCTTGTCAGCGACTCTCTATGGCGTGAAGAAAGGACGCGTTGTCTACTGATTTACAGTGTGGCAATGCCTCGCTCATGCTCGGACACCAGCATGTGCCGCATTCGCTTGTGTTGAATATGGCCTGAGTAGACATATTCGAAACACCCGACGTTCTGTTGTTGCCAACGAAGTTTGTAACAATAATTTTTGTAGAAGATTTCCAAGGTAAGTTACCATCCCAGTATTTATGTAATGCTTTGCCACCGTTTGCTGGGTTTTACGATAAAGTGGTTAATACAGAATCGTACTTATAATTACGTGGTTGTTTTCCCAGCGAATAAATAATAGATCCATTACATTAATTATACATAAATCAACTCTCACGTCCACCCGCGGAATTATCACTTAGCTGTTTTAGGCACGGGTTTATGTGATTACCTTCGACCTTTCATTCTGAATTTCAGCTACCTTTAAATATAATGCAAAAATGCGCAAGGTTCAAACAGGGATAGTACATCGATAGAGAAAATATAGCTTAAATTCGAAAGCTAAAGCTGTTTCGATGTTTTAATAATGTAAACATTACAATCAGCAACAATGTCTTCATGCCATCAACAATGCCTGTGATTTCATCATATGATATCTACTTTTAGTTACAAGAAATGAGTGTTTCTGAAGAAACTCATTTCATACATATGAACCTTTCCGCCGACCCTCTCTCTCTCTCTCTCTCTCTCTCTCTCTCTC